CCATAAAGTGCGGCGCTTCTTCCACGCGCAATGGGGGCGACTCCACATCCTGCATTTCTCGGGCTAATTCGGGGTGTTCCGGATCATTGTGCATCATGTTACCGGAGCCGCCGCGACCGGTGGTGAAGATGTCTTGTTTGATGGTGGGGGTGACGAGGTCCTTTGGGGTGGTGCGGGATTCATTGTGGCCGGAGAAGATGTTGCCTGTGGGGGGAGCAATGTCGCGTTAGATGAGATGATATTGTGGCTTTAAGGAAAGGGAGACTGCGAGAAAGAAAGGCAGAGGGAGAGATAGTGCTAAACATACCTGCGCCGCCGCGGCCGTGGGAGATGTTTCTAGCGCCGCCCATTGTTGCCGAACAGGGAGGGAGTGGAGGGGAAGGGGAGGGCGGAGAGAGAATGCGATCGGGAGAGTGGATGATCAGAGTCAGTAGTAAGGGAAGTATGGGATGCGATTGATTGCGAAGGCGCAACAACGCAAAGGCGAACTCTCAATCAAGAGAATGAAGGAGAAGATGTGAAGATGATTTGAAGAGGAGTGGGAAGGGAAAGCAAGCACGCAATAGCTAACCCAGCAGTGATCAACACAGAAAAAGAGAGAGTGGAAGAGAGCTGAGGAGCCGCCAAAGTGGCAAAGGCCGCGAGCGAGAAGAAAGACTGAGTGGAAAAGAAAAGACTGAACGAGCAGCCAAGACTTTTGATTTTGATCAAATGACGTCCTGCTTTTGGGGCCGAATGACCGAGACGGTTTTTTTACTCTTCTCTTCCATCCCTCTTCTTCTAATTTGATTTTCTCGAGTGTCTTTACATTTCATCTTTCATTCTTCTATTCCTCAATTCTTCGTTCTTCCATCAATTTAATTCTCCTTCTAGGGCCCTACCTTGAAGACTAAGTTCATCCCTCTCCCTCTTACCTCATTCATGGGCGCCAACCATGCCTGAAAGTGGAAACTTCTTAATCTAACTTGACCCCACTTTTTCCCTTTATTATACTACCACTTACTATATTACCTTGGATTATGATTTTCCTTAATTCATTCCAGAACTTTTTGCCGACTGATGGAAACCCAGTGGAAAATTCTTCCTAATTGTTCTTTTGGATACTAGTATATTTTTAGTCGATTGATTGTATTACTACTATGTACTACTGTTGTTGGACAGCAAGTAGGTCTAGGCTTTCCCCGCGGGGAGGCTATCTATCTCTATCCTCTTCCAACAAATTAGGATTATAGCTATGAGATAGTTTAGTGAAGCAATGGGTATTAAGCAATGGGAGGGGGAAAACAGCATTACTTATATACTGGTTAGAAAGTATGGTTTTCCTGTGTGAATATATCTACTATCCCTGAAGGCTGCTGTTCAGATTTGTAACAAGAGGATGGGTGATAGCAAGAACCATGTACAGTCATCCTGCAAGTATAGTAATTCTATTATTCACAAACCAAAGAAACCATTATGTATATATACACACCATAAACATTAATCCAGTCATGCGTGTTCATAAACCAGTGCATCCCATCCATGCCATGCGTTGCTGCATACAGCGTATATAATCATGCCGAACCGTCCATCTGGAATAATCGGTCCATGTCCATTTCGTACGCCTGCTCAAATCCCATACTCCAGACCCCGTGCGCGCCCTTGACGCGATACGGCCCCTCCCACTTCCACGACTTCTTCTTCTCCTTGTACGAAACTGCTCCAACGTGCTGCATCTGCGACGGGGAGATGGCCAGTCGGTCCAGCTCGGCCCGCCCCGCCTGCATTTCGATCACGCTGTCCACCGCCTTGGTGGGGATCACGTCCTCCATGTGCTCAAAGTACTCCAGGAGGGCGGGAACGTTCTCGCGATTGAAGAGAAGGGCCTGCGAGCAGCAGCCGTGCGCGTTCATCACGTGCACCCCATCCTGCATCGGGTACCAGGTGACCCGACCAGCCAGAAAGAAGAGGGTGATCAGTAGCGGCACGCAGAAGAAGCAGACTACCAGCAGGAACGAGTTGGTGAGGATGCCCTGGGTAGCGCGGATCTTCCGCCGAGTGTACATGCCTGCACTGGCGCAGAGGGAGACGAGCAGCACACTCCAGGACAGGTAGATGGGCCAATTTTCCGAGTTCCAGCCGAGGAACTTCTCCGTGTAGAAGAGCCGCAGGTATAGCCAGTCCTTGATCGTATCGTGTCGGCGCCAGTCCTCTACCTGCTGGACGCTGCGCATGGTGTCCTCGTACCAATTGCGCTGGGCCACCACGTCGTCCTCCAGCATGATGATCCACGGCGCGTCGGTCATGTCGTAGCATGCCTGTAGCCCGAGCCGGTAGTCGATCAGAGACTTCTTCTTTATGTTATTCTTTTTCTCCAAGTTCATAATAATATACCCGGGTGCGTCGACATCGTCGTAGGTGAGTACGTGGTCAACAACATTCGATAACCATGTCTGATTGTAATCCGGGTGATCGGAGGGTTTGCTCAGGGCGAAGAGCACTTGGACGGTCAGCGCCGCTCGCTGCTCCGGTGAAAGGGTATCAAGAATCGAAGCAACGGTTGTGTCGAGGTCCTGCTGCAGGGGACGCTTGACGGTAACGATGCCGACACAGGCGGTCTTCTCCCGTGGCGGGCTGACATGGGAGACGGGACGGGGCGGGACATTGTCGGAACGGTTGAAGGCAGACAGCCACTCCAGCGATTCGTGGATCCGTTGGAGACTGTATCCCGGGCGATAGCCTTCGGTAGGCTGGAAGAAGAACGAGCCTGGGTCACGGGCGGACCGGAAGTGGCAGATGATGATAAGGAAGAAAAAGAGGATGGCGTAAGAGGACAGAAGCAGCCTCTGCTTTCTGTTGAAGTGATTGAAAGCCATCGGTCACATACTGGTTGGCAGACGATCAGGAGGGAACGAACGGAGGAGAGGATGGAGGGGAGAGAGGGAAGGAAAGGAAAAGAGGGAAAAGGAAAACAAAAGGCAGGACCGGATTGCGACAGCAGATAAGCCAGCAGCGGACTAGCAAGAGTTAGCTTGGAGCCATGTTGATGAGACTTGCTGCTTTTGAAGCCCTGGGCCCTCAGGGTCTGCCCATCGCTTAGTTTGCTCTAGTCATTTGCTGGCCAGCTGATAGTCCGGCCGCTCTTTCGTTTATCGGGCCAGTGGAGCGGTGGTCAAAACCCTTCGAGTTGACCCACGCCCGAATAGCCAAGTTTTGGGATCGCGTTGGCCCATTGGCCGATCACGCGGTGGGCGCCAGGGCTGAGCGCATGCTGCGTAAGGCATTATCCGAGTAGGGATTCGATAAAAGGTGCAGGGTTGGGAATAGCGTCAACAGCCATTGTGGGTTTTCCCGAGGGTCAATTGGCTGAGAGAGGGGGAGAGAGAGACAGGATGACGATAAGAATAGCTCGGATAGCTTGCTGGGTTAGTTGCTTTGCTTCACTTGCTTGATTGTCTCGGAGCAAAAGTGAGAGGGAAATTCCATCCCGCGCGGGCTAAAAAAAGCCTGCCCAGAAAAAGCTTAGCCCCAAACGGTGTCCGCCGCCAGAAGAAGAAGATGAGCAGACAAGAACATTGTAGAAAGAACCATCAAAGTGGGAGAAATAATTGACAGATTTCCTTGCATACTCCAAGCAGTCTCATCATGACACAATCAACAGGGCAGTGCCGATGAAACAATTGATTTAGTGTGATGGCGAAGTGGTTTTAGCACACTTCATTGTCTCAATTATCTTGGTTTTGGATGGAGTCGGATCTCGTATTGAACCCACTTCAGTGCTGTGCATCCATCACTATCCTGCACTCTCAATTATCGAGTCCATCCTGCAGACTCGATCACACTAACATTCTTGACCTGTCAAGTTCGTTAAGTAATCAGCTGGTCTAAGCTGGTCACATGACCATAAATGATAGTGAATGTAAGCTGATGAAGTGATGTGCGTTCTGAGTCTGTTAACTCATAGGAGTTGGATGAGCGGATTGTGACACTACTGCATCTCATCCGATCAGTCATCTCCTTCCACTTGTGTCCTACACCTGACCTGCAATATTTATGTCTACTCTTCACTCATATTACGTGCTGTTGTTTTCTTCTTTAGCTATTTTATATCATTATATTCACTAGTCTTGGCATTGCAGTTTTTCTTAGTATGTCTAGCATGGTATATACGTAGTATACCTTATAGTATTAGCATATTATCTCATAAAGAGGACTACTATTCATTGTATTTATAGCTGCTAGCCTGCATCTTATTCCCTGAACAATATCCATTGTATAAAGAACTAGAGATAATTAGAGCAAGTTTACAGCACAAACTTCTTTGTATTATATTTATCAAACAAAATCTACAGTAATATCATCATCATCATCATCATCATCATCATCGGCTACACGGGAACGGATGTATCGGATCGAAGCGACCGTGACACATGGAGCACGGAGTATATGGCTGGCATCACATGGCTGTCAGGCAGACTCCTGGAAATGATGTGCAGGACAAGACAAGTCGATACTGATTCCTTAACATATAGCAGGGTGGAGACAGACAGCATCGCGAACCTCTGCAGGACCTTCCTGGGGTCGGAACATCCCACGTTCAGGACTTGAGCATGGGGCAAAGAAACCTGCTGAGCACCGCACAGAGTCCTAGATGAGTAGATCAGGGCTGCGGACTTGCGTTTTGCCCCTGGACGTGCGTGTGCGATGGTAAACTTCCCATTGAGGCCATTCGAAGTGATCGGAACCACATTCATGATCCAACAGAGAAATGATAGATGGACCCTTCTTCACCAATACCGAGGCTGAGCTCAATAGTACCATGGGATTGATGGCTATAGGCTCCAAGATTCTTACAAGTTGTATCTATACTCTTACACTTGAAGTAATGCGGGTAGTTGGATTTTATCATATTATTTGGACAACTCGCAGCTAGCAGCAAATACATCTCATTATCTAAACCCTTTCACGACTCAACGGAATAATGGTCCTTCCCCACAAGACGTCCAGCCTCATCCAGGTACTTAGAACGAGGCGGCGTCCTTTTTGAAGACCTTGCTGCCCAGCCAGTCCCAGTCGCCAATAACGTACTGGGCATTACCTGCCCGGGACAGAATCACATGGGTCTGCTTCGGCGAGTGGAGGAAGTTTCTTAAATGCGCCGGTCAACTGACTGACTCATTACAGCAGCACCTGCTACGCAAGTCTACTGCGCGAGTCGGCACTAGGATGGCCAGCTTGGCCAATCCCACCGACCCACCGCAGAGGATTTGCGTAACAAACATAGTCACTGCAGCAATTGTTCGCGTTTTGCCCGTACCAGGACCAAACACAAGAGATAGAGTGGGTAAGCAACTGGATAGTTGCCTCGGTTTGGGCGCTATTGAGCCTCCAGTCATTTGGCACAAGGAATTTGAGATCCCGGGGAGCCGATTCCCATGGATCATGGGTATTTACCCGAGGAGTATTGGGGAGGAAAATCGAGATTAACGAAAGTTTTGGACCATTATCAGAGGAGATGGCCACTTCCTGCTTCGTACAATCCCGGCAAGCGTCGTCAAAGCTCTCGTCACCCCAGGCGTGCACTGGAGCATCGATCAAGGCGGTCCACTTGGCCGAGTTCTCTGTCACCGAGGCCATGGAGCCTTTCTGAGGCCCACTCTAGCCAGGAATCTTATAGCTCTTAGTCTTATTCCTCAACGTCCTCGTCGGTGGCCTCGGCCTGTAGCCAATCGGGGTTGGGGGGGTCAAGTTCTTCATCGGTTGCATCGGCGGCACCACTAAGAGCAAGAACTCGATGGAGAGCCCATTGCATATTGAGCAGCTCTATCGATGGGAGGGGATTGCCGACTGGGTCGTCGGTCTTGAAGGTAAGGACGTCTCCGGAGCGCAGGGCTTTCTCGGTGTTAATATTGAATAGCTTTGCATTGAGTTTGCCTTCCACCTTAATCGAGGACAGGCAGCCATCAGGGAAAGGACACGGGACTTCTCTGGACGACATAGCGTCCGACAACTTGTTTATCGGCATCCAGTAGAACTTCACCTTGAGGACCTTCTGATTCTCGCTGATCGACAAGGGATTCAGGGCAAATCGCGCGGTTTTCCAGAGTTTATGGGCGAGGTTGGACATGCACATCAAGTTGGAACAGGTCTCCGTGCCACTAGGGCCTAAGACCTGTTCTTTCCACTTGCTTATCTTTTCTTCACTCCAGTACCCTTGCAAGTTTTCCCAGAATATGTCAAGTTCTGTCTTTTTCCTCTGGCCGAGGCTGTAGGGGAAAATGTGGGCGACTTCTAGCGGTTCACGGTACCCGGTGAGGATACAAGCGTTCTGATCTCGTTCCTTGCACTGTGATGGGTGATGAGAGACTGACACGGTCATATTGCTTGATTCGGTATGAAAGTTACAACTCACCAGTTCGTTGGCTGATTCGCCACGGCCTGCCGGCTGCTTCGTTGTTTCTTGAGGACCTACTGCTGCAGGACGGGTGTTGCCAGCGAGGGTGGGAATCCTGGACGCGGTTTCTGAAGTACGCTGGCGCTTCTTTGGACTTTCTTCGATGTCTGGTTCTTCTGCGCCCTCTTCAGTAGTAAGTGAGACTCTAGGCCGACCCTTCCCTAGTGTTGCATTAGCTCGTACCTATTTGGATGACCGGCTACATCACTGACAGAACATGATTATATCGTCAAGCCATTTGCTTTGGGTAAAGTTATGTGCCACATGCTGCGGACCCATCCGCAACTCTCCACAGTTTTTGAGATGCTCCTTCAGGATGGCCAGATCTGCAAACCAAAGGAGAGCCCATCCTGTTGAAGGGAGAGTCTGATGTCCGATATAGACGGAGAGCTGGGCAATGATTTTGCGCCGCTCTGGGTCGAGGAGCTCGTCTGCAGGTCCCCTAGAGGACAATTTGTCTTGCGTGGAGGCACGAGTGGTGCGTTTACTGGTGTTGGGCATAAGTGTCGACATCACAACAAAACTGGCACCAGCTTTTGCTGGATACCGCGAGGAAGTTCAAGCAAAAGGGCGAAACGGGTATGGCTTCAACGACAGGAGGCTAATGGGGGCGAAGTTTGGTAAGGAAAGGGCAGGTGGCAGTAAGAAGGGAAAGGTGGCCAGGAAACAGCCATGGAGGAGTGATGGGAAAGGAACATCATATTAGGCAAATCTATTGTCATGCCTACCTACTGTAGGATACGTAAGAAGGTTGTATTCACTTATAGTTCCTAATCCGGGTATATTCAATGTCGGATCCATCCGAATCGACGTCGGCTTTGCGTTTGGGATCGGTCTTAGCTTTGGCTCTAGGCTTCGCCATAGCGCGAATTTGAAAAGGTGACTCCCTTGGGGTGCAGACTTTGGAGATTGCCTTGTGCAGAGAGTGCCCAGGTTTGTATGATCACATAATGTTGGAACAGATACTAAGTAGACCAAAAGAGAAATCCCTCTCTTGGTTACTGGTATTGTCCTGGTTTTGTATGTTCTGACACATAATCTTACTCTAGTTACTTGTGTTTCCCGTTCACTCCCTCGCCATAGTACCTACCTTTCCACTCCACCTCTCCGCTTCAGCCTTCATCCTTTCACCTCACCTCTTCATCCCACAACTCTACGCCCTTTCAACCGTCACCTTGACCGACATCCTCTCTCCAGAGTCGTGGGTCAGGCTTTAGTTCACGAGGGTGCATACCTCGGCATCACGGGGGACCGGATTACAACATCCGTCAACTCTATCTGCAGATTGGTTAAGGATGATTACAATATCTGATACATCTGACAGCTACAGCTGCCCTAGATATTTCATAGTAAATCGACATTTAATTGAACCCAATGCCAAATCTCATGTTAGAACCAACAACTCATCTCCCCAAACTGCGGGGTAAACTCACCAACATCCACGGAGTAATACCCGGACCTCGGCGCCATCATCCATCGTCCATCACCTGCATACTTCCATAGCGTTTAGTAAACATACTCTGATAACCGAGCAATTGACCATACTCCAGATAAATCAGAGTATATAAAGCAAGATAGCCAGACAAGGTGAATACTCAATAGCAGTACCATCTCAACAATTAGCTCCAACCATCACCCCCTCCTCATCAACCAACACAATTCATCATAAACCATAGTTGACTATTATCAACATGTCAATCACCCTCCCCCCATCCTACGAATCCCACCCAACAACCCACATCAAACTCTCCCACCACCCACTCAACACCCCATCCCCAACCCCGGTCATCATCATCACTCTCAACCGGCCCGACAAACGCAATGCCTTCACCTCCACCATGGCCCAAGAGCTCGAATGGGCCTTTACCACCCTGGACCGCGATCCCCGCGTGAAAGTAATCATCCTGACCGGTAGCGGAGACACATTCTGCGCAGGAGCAGATCTCGAAATTGGATTTAGTGTAGGCGAGAAGGGGAAGGAGAAGTTGAACTTGCGTGATTATCGCGATAGGTGGGATACTACCTACTTACCCTCTATACTACTTACTTCACTTTCCATGAACAAATACTTCCATCCATACAAGTGATTGATATATAACCACTAGCAAATACTAATTTACTATGAGAGGATGTAGTGGCGGCCGCGTCGCCCTCTCCATCCACCGATGCCGCAAACCCACCATCGCCGCAATGCAAGGCTCCGCCGTAGGAGTCGGTATGACCATGACTCTTCCTGCTGCTATTCGGTATGTTCCCCCTCTTCCCAACTCCACACAATCCCCAATAATATACTAACTACTATGGTGTATAGAATCGCCCACACCCCCAGCAAATACGGCTTCGTCTTCGCCCGCCGCGGCATAACCATGGAATCCTGCTCCAGCTACCTCCTCCCCCGACTAATAGGGTATTCGCGCGCCATGTACCTCGTCTCCACGGGGGCAGTGTACCCGCCTACATCACCGCACTTCGGGGGTCTCTTTGCCGAGACATTTCCCACTAAGGAAGGGGTCGTGAAGCGGGCGGTGGAGTTGGCGAGTGAGATGGCCCAGCTGGTGAGTCCCATGGCCGGGGCGTTGAATCGGGCGTTGATGTGGAGGGCGCCGGCGAGTGTCGAGGAGGCGCATTTGGTTGAGTCGAGGGTTTTGGGTCATATGTTTGCTTCTGAGTAAGTTTTTCTTTTTATCCTTTTTTGGGGAGGGTTGGGGGTTAGTAGGGAAATATCGCTGACGAGTGGGTGGTGTAGGGATCAGAAGGAGGGTGTTGGGGCGTTCTTTGAGAAGAGGAAGCCCGAGTTCAAGTGTGATTTGGATGTGGATGGGCCGGGGAATTATCCCTGGTGGGCGGAGGTGGATATTGATCCGAGGAGGGAGGTTGAGAATAAGTCGAAGCTGTAAGAGTGGAAGACTAGTAGGATGTAGATATAGCGAAGAAGTGAACATATTCAATAATCATTTTAAATCGCTCACTGATATGAATATTCGTACAAACAGGAGAATAAAGAGAACTTAATCACAGTTCTCAAGAATGCCATAATAACACTCACTCAAAAGAAACAGGCATCCCATGCAAAAAAGAACCACTAAACTAACTTTCAAACAATGAAATGACGTCTCTTGCGGTTATACGCCCGCTGATCCTTCAACCACTGGCGATAGCCCTGCACACTACCGATCTTCTCACCATAGTAATCCGGAACAGGGTTAGCAATGGAGTTAGACGACGGGTCGACACGGAAGCGTCTAATACGGTCGAAGAATTCCTTCTCTTTCTGCACAACAATCCATTATCAGCATTCAAACTTCCATAAATAAACCCAAAACAAGCAAGAAAGAAAACTTACCACCATAACAGAAGGCTTGTATCTCCGATAAACCAACCCCCAGACTGCATTCCCTACAAACGGACCAATAAGCCAACCCGCCGCACCGCACGCCGCCGTCGCCATACCCAGCACCACAAACGGATCCAGACCCATGACCTGCGCGCCAAGGGACTCCAGATCCTGCGTCGAGAGAACCTGCACACCAATGACCGTGGTGAACAGGGAGCTCACGATCGACGAGGCAAGCGAGTACCGGCGACGGCTAGCGCGGAGCTTGAAGAACGAGTCCCAGTCGAGACGGACGGCTTCGCTTTTCGCAGCGGCGGCGGAGGAGGAGTTGGCACGGCGGAGGACCAGAGAGGTTGGGAGCTGCGTTGTCGTCGAGGGACGCAGAGCTGTGGTGGTCTTCAGGGTCTGGGTGCTGCGGACTCGCATGGAGGAGGTGTTGGTGCTTGCGGTCCGGGCTTGAATGAGCGCTTGATACAACGGGTTGGTGCAGCTGCTGGGGTGGGCGAAGGGGCCCAGCGTCTTGAATGTGAGGCGTCCGCTCAGCATAGCGGTACGCATCCCGCTGATCGAGGGGGCGTGCATGGTGGATGGATGTTGGGTTGGGAGTGGTAGGTTGTTGTGGTGATGGTGGTTTGATTGATTCGTTCTGAAGTTCGGCGGGTGAAGCTGGGGATTATGTAAGCGGGTCTGAGGCATGACCTCATTGGGAGATGCCGCGGTAACTGTGGACTATACAGGGGCAGTGCTTGTTTGGAGTGATGAGTGTACTCAATGGCTGCAATTGCCTTGGATGTGGTTTAGGTAATATGTTATATTGATTTGTGGGCGGATCATGGCATTTTTGGTAGGATCTATCGGAGGATCTTGGGCTCTTGAAAAGAATACTCGATCGTGAAGTATCATGCTAGACCAGATGACTTGTCAAACATAGCAGTACAGAGTGTTTCTACTGCCCTTAGCTTTCACCAAGCACTACGAGGGCTAACAAAAGTTTGCTCATGCAGAATACGGCACTGAACTACTCTATACTGCACCGTTCAAAGAATTACCATGGTCGTTGGGCAAATTAACTAAGCCGTGAAGCGGATAAAAATATGCATCTCAGGAAGAAGATGTACAAATGGTAATCCCGCCATGTTGCATTTCCATCACCAAGCCTATTGGTGGTGCTTTGTAGAAGGGAAGTCTGCCTGGTTGTGATCGGTAGATCTGGGAGTGAAATAGGGGCCGATATGAAGATTGCAATGTTGACATTGAGTTAGAAGCGTATTGAGACTGTTACCAGGGGATCAGAGTAGGGGTCAGAATGAAGAATGGGCCGAAATTTCTAAGGAATTGAAGAAGAATTGTATAGGCAATTGTTTGGCAGACACTATTTCTGTTATGTAATTTGCTCTTGGTGTTGAATGAGCTCGGCTAAAGAGTGCGGGGGTTCAGGACGCTTTGCGGGGTATCGAGCCAAATGGTTGAAAAAGATGCGTAATGTTGCACAGTATATTTCCGGAATAAGAACATCTCGTGTATATCGAATTAATTGGCTGAAGTGTTATATGCTGGTAGTGTATATCGTCTCGTCTATACTGTAGTGTTGATTATATCTCGCCAAGATCGATTAGGCCCACCGTTATACCCTGTAGATCCGAATGTATGATTAAATATTGCCGTTGCTTTTGATAGCTCCAGGGCGAGACTGGGCTTTGGCGCTCGTTCCGTATCCGTTCACGCGGCCATAGAGCCATTTGAGAGTTCCCGTGCTCAGCGCCATTGTAACGGCGCTCAGGGCGAAGAGTCCGATGCGACCCTCGAATCCTACAGCCTCAAAAATGGGGTAAGGATACCTGTGCAGTCAGTGAGCTGCACTTCTATAGAAGCGAATACAAGACATACCATCCATTGAATTGGAAGCATCGTTCGATCCAAAACCAGTATCCAAAAGCGATGGTGCTGGACAGAGCCAGTGCAGGAAGAACAGTAATAGTCCAAGGAGGTGAAAGGAGAAGAAGGTCAATCAGTAGAACGATAGACGGTATAGCATGGAAGCCGACATCTTGGACGCGATATTAGCAAGCTTCCTTCAAGCGATGCGAGTCCGACTTACCGGCATGCATAGGAAGTACCACCCAATCAGGAACAACCAAACGCTTATCAATCTGTTGAACAGTTAGGTGGAATTACAATCGTCCATGAAGAAATTAGTTACCAGACGGATCCCCCAATATAGGATGCTGATTAACACTTCCATTGGAGCGCTGCATACAGAAAGAAGGTTTTTGACTAAAAATAGCCGAGCCGATAACGTCATATCCGCCAGCAGACCGGCGGTAAAGGTGAGCGTGGCCAGCGTCAGCCCAATGACCGTCAGGTACTGGAAATGCCAACCATATGCTTCATTACTGCCAGAAAGGTCAATTAGCAACTTTGGTTACTCCAGGGCAAGGAAATGGGATGCTTACGCCATATTGGGGTTCTCATGCATGCTAGAGAACGGCTGATTAGTGGGCGGGCCAAGCACGGGGAGCACGAGCTGTAATGGACTCGACATACTACTTAAACGAGAAGAAGAAGCTGGCTAGACCTAGAGACTGCCATGGGGAACAAACATCAGCCCAAGAAACGAGGTACCCCTACGGGGAAGTGCTCACATGAACCAAGGCCGAGAAACCTCTGGACGGGCTGGACAGGCGCTGCAGGGGATGTTGCCGCTGAAGCGACTGAAATGTTCCAGAAGACGCCATACTGGAAGCGGGATAGAGGTAGAAACTGAAGGAGATTCGATTAATTAGAATGACACTCGGTTACAACCCAAAAGCTTGCAATCACTGCCGAAGAGGCATGAAATGAATAAGAGAGATAGGGATCTCACTAATGCAATGATCTAAAGAGCTGACTAGGATGCCCGGCTATTCCGGGGAGGCCTTAGTAACCGGGGGCAGCTAAGCCTGACGGGGTAAAGCTGGGCGTAGCTGAACTGGACAGACCGCCGCGAACCGGAGAAACCCGCCGCCCGGACCAGCTGGGCCTTGGCTTATCAGGCCGGTCTGATTGATGGAGACGGCCGATGGTCTCCCCCCCACTGGCTGGTTATCGGGTGGGCTTCATGACTGTTGACTGGCTTGTCTTCTCCGCCCGTCTCGTGTAGCATGTATCCTGGTTCGGTGATTACTTCCACTCCTCCCTTTCCTTTCTTCTTCACTCCAAAAGTCCCTAAATTTTTGCTGGCTTTTGCTTCTTATCCTGGACAACAATAGCGTCACCCTATACCCCCTAATTCTTGGCTACACTTCAGTTTACAACGGCGTCGATCGACTAGTAGGGTTGCTGTTAAACCACATAGATTACCGTGGATTCTTCCCCACACCCCGATGAGTACGAACAACGGGTGTGGGTGTCTTGTCGATTATCGTTTCTTATCGTCTTGGGTGAAACGCCCTACACGCAGGAAAAAAGCCTTCTTCAGCCTCTTGTCTAGATCGTGATCGCTGTCTCGGTCTGTATGGCGATCTTACTCTGCAAGGTAGATCGGAACCATCTCAGATTCCGGACCATTTATCGCTGTGGTCGCGATTGCTGTTTGTCGGATTTAATCCCTCAGCCAGATCGGGTGTGAACTTCCATGCCTCGTCCCAGAAGACCCGGCGCGCCAGAGCCGAAACGACGATCCCGTAAGGGCTGCTGGTGAGTTTGCAGAATACCTTTTGTATATGCTTTTGAACTAACAATTCCCAGGCCGTGCAAAGCCCGAAAGGTGAAATGGTTTGTCTATACCCTGGTCTTGTTTTTATTTTTTGCTATCAAAACTGCTCTTCACGGAGAGCACCTTGTCATTGTCTTTTGGTTTTGGCGATGAAGCTAATTTCATGCAGTGGAGAGGAGAAGCCGTCGTGCCTCAACTGCCGACGCCAGAATGAACCATGTGACTATAGCATCAGGTTGAATTGGGGCGGGAGGACACGGAGAAAATCTTCTGTAGACTCCCCCAGCTCTCAGTCCAGTAGTCCGCCGGGCCAATATGCCACCTTCAGTTTCTCGCCATCGAACCAATACCATCCGGATGCCCCGAGTCCAGTCCAGCCATACACACCCTTTTCCATGCGAGACGGAACGACTGTGCCAGATCAAGCTGCAGGGGACTTGCTATGGGATGCCGGACTTGCAGGGGGAATGGAAATAGGAACATCCACAACCAGTCCTAAAGGATTACATGATATCCTCCATGAATCTCCGACTGCCTTTGGCCAGTTAAATAATGAATCCAACTGTACAAATGGCAAGACCTCTGTAGACATGGGGGCTACGTCGCAAGATCAAGAAGCGACCTCCCCATGGCCAGATTTGTCCCCCGATTTAGCCACATCCTCGTCGAGCGAGACCCTGCTCGCTTTCTCCCCGCCTGTACCCTTATCGCTGGACACCATCTCATACCCATCGCCTGCAGATACGAACTCGACTATCGGTTCATTCGCGGCTTTTAACTTTTCCTCTGCCACGATATCGAGGCCCATCTCGTTCCTCCGACATACATCGGATCTCCATCATTCCCCGCCCGACTCCAATCACATGCCCGAATCTCGTACCGAGTTTTCTAGCTATTCCTCGTCTACGGATGTGATGAGTATCTATGCAGACTTCCAGTCACATGCATCATCTTCTGCTCAGAATGCGGCATCTCCAGGGTCGGCAGAAGCAAGTTTGCTTTCGTCAGGATTGGCTCACGAGGCCCCAGCGCTGCAGGCGGGTCCAGCCGTCCATACGGAGAACTTCTTCAGCAAGATCATGAACGATCCTCTGCATCCTGATAGCCAATCCGATGGGGTTTATTCTCGCACAGGATACGTCTCCCATGCTGCTGACAGTGCAGGCCAGAGCCTATCGGAACTGGAGGATGTTTCCATGTCGGAAAAGAGATGGCAAGCTTATCTGACCAGGGTCACGGACAATTACGGGTTGGATTGCGGGCGCCCGGATCTCGATCTCAACAAGAACGACGATCATTCCGCCATTGACATCAACTACGCTTTGGATTTGATTAATTCGGACAGTCGACCTTCCGCTTCGAACTCGGAAGGTTTGCATACAGAGAATGCAAAGTACGATGGATCTGACTGCAACAAGCGTAGCTACTATGCATCGCCGGTACCAATAAATATACCGCGGTATCTTTCGCCGTTGCCACCGTCACTCGTGAAGACGCCAATTAATCTGATGTATTTCCACCACTTTCTCAACCATACCGGTCGCATGCTGGTTCCTCATGATTGCAAAAATAACCCGTTCATCTCGGTCTTACCGACCAGTACGTACCATTAGAGGACTTTACTCAGCGCGTTTACTGACATGAACTAATTAGTGGCAATTGGCGACTCTAATCTTCTAAACTTGATGCTGGCATATTCTGCTAGTCATCGGGCGCGGTATCTGGGCCATCCTGAGCCCGCAACCCGAATTGCACACTGGGTGAGCAATGTCTTTCCCACTCTGCGCTTGGCGCTTGAGGATCCTCGTGAGAAGGTGACCGACAGTCATCTTGCGACTGCCATCATGCTTCTTTCTCTGAAAATCATATCTCCCAGCACGTTTGAAGTGCCCATCCCATGGCAAAGTCACTTAAAGCTTGCTCGGGATCTGTATCTGGCACGACAAGAGCAGATGTCATACCCTGGAAATCGTGTCGGCGCATTTCTCACGCGCTGGCTGGGATACATCGATCTCATGGGCGCTCTATCGTGCCGGGAAAGTGGACCACCACTGTCTGAATATCAATCTGTTCTGGCGGTCTGCTCTGATGCAGGAACACATGGCGAATATTGTGTTGACTGCTTCAGTGGGTTTACGCCCAAGACTGGCTTGTTTCTAATGCAGCTGGGAAGATTGACTCATGAGTGTGACAACGAGCGTTTCGACGAGAACGGAGTCTTTCTTCCTGATTGGGAACCATCACCAGGTGTTGCCTTTGAAGCCGAAGCCTTAATAGCGGATCTTGGCGCTTTGGAAACCTACGCCTATGCTGATGCAGCGCACTTCGGTCCGAGCAAGACCGATTTTCTAGCCACTGACCGGGCCTTTCGCTATGCAGGGCTATTGCACCTTCATCGTCGGGTGCTAAATGCGTCGCCCTTTTCTGAGGCGGTTACGGGGGCCGAAAAAGAGCTCTTCAAGGCAATAGGTGACATCCGGCAGAGTGCGTCTGCAGAGGTCGGGGTTCTGTTCCCGTTGTTTACTGCGGGCTGTGAAGCTCGAAATGCCGCGCAACGAGCAGAAATCCAAGAGCGTTTCGATTTCCTCGAAAAAACAGGAATGAAACAGGTGAGTCGATAGCTATTCGCGCAGTTAACATGTCTGATTTTGTCTCTAGATGCAAAGCGCTCGTACGCTGATGCAGCGATGCTGGTCCGAAGACTTGCCGTGGATCGCATTGGCTCAGGGCGAATTTCTAGGGTAGCCCAGCAGGTAAAATCGTCTTGTACATCATTCTTGCTCATAAGCCAATGCTACTGGGTGAGGTGCATGTCTTGTACCTGCAGGGTGTGTCCCGCTGACTGCGCTAGTTCCATATATGAAGCGAGCGGAGACAGCAGGCCTGACTCTACTGAACTTACTATGTACATATCAAGAGGCCGTTAAGGGATGGTCATTTGTAGAAGCTGTTGGTCTACCGCCCAACACTAGGGTTGTAGTACCACGACCACCCAAGGCACGTTGTATACTCAGAAAAAGTGATTGTCTGTCTCTTTGCTCGAATGGCCACACGAGGACTCCAGATTTCTCTCTAGTAGCTTTATCGTCCAGCTTAGTAGATGATTCTACATTTCCTTGAAGCGAGACCAATTCAGTTTCACCTCATTCTACCCTCCGCATACTATGTCTTAGTAGCAATCTGCTAGGAATCATACTACTATATAAAGGCCATTATTTACTCTATCCCCTTCTAAACTTCATAATTCTCTCTTCCACAGACCTCGGTAGCGATCTGCGAAATATTCTCTATAAAGGCCATTAATACTCTGACTTCTTCCACCCAACACGATCATCTTGGTCTCGCATTGATAACCTTGACACCTAACAAAAAGAGAGGTTGCCTAGTGACGAAGCACGCCACTAAGCTGTGACAGTGAAAAACTTCACCAAACGCCCACTACCAGCGCCACTTCCCAAAATGGAAGGGTGCCCCTCCCAGCCATACCAGGATGGTCCTCAGAGTGACTCGGGGACCATTCTAGTCCTAATACTTATAACCATAGTGTTTCTTTGCTTTGTGGTCTATCGTATAGAATCTTATGTATTCCTGATGCTTCAGACGTGCGAGCGGAAAGACATGGCTCACATGAAGGATAAGAATAGTCTGCAGCTGGAGCGGACCGCGCTGGCTCCAGTGAATCCTTGTGCTCAGAATACTGCTCCGCTCTCTAGTCTCCTGGACAGTGGACTGGACGACATCAAAGTCCCCAGCCTGCAGCCATTGTCACCTATCAAAACGCCTTCTGTTGTGCGGGTCACAATTCAAAAAGAGCCTACACAGAGAGCGACGAGCCTACTCATAGACCAGCACGTCGACAATCTGTCTATTCCCGTGCTGGAACCCCAGAGAGTGAGTCCTCGTTCGAATTCAACTACCACTATAACCCAAGTTCGACCTCCATGGTTAACCCGTCTGGTGTGCGTCAAGAATCAGCCGTTCGTCACCATGAAACCACCAGTGCTTGTGCCGTGGGATGGTACAATCAAATGGGCTATCCGAGGATCCAGTATTTTTGAGACTACGGATGAAGAACTCGACGCGTTGCTGTACCGCCCGAATATTGTCAGCAAGGAACCTCCAACTGAGCTCTGGATGTTCCAGTTTGGCTTGCGCTATATCCCTGCTGAAGGTGACAGAGATGTACATCGCGCCGTCACTATTGAGAATCTACCATCAGATGTGACCCTGCAGCAACTCTTACCTCTAGTTACCGGCGAAATCTACTCAGCACACTTCCTCGATACTGTATCTATCACGGGGTCAAACACTGCTTTCATCGTCTTCGTTGCCCAGGCAGATACTGTTGACTTTCTCAAAGATTCCGGCGGTAGTCTTGCCCTGAGGACGACACAGGCTAAAGTGACCCTAGTCCCGACTCCAACTTATCCTATGGCGGCTAGTATGGCACGGCTGGTTTTCGAAGAGGGTCATACGCGGTGTGTCTGTATATCTGGTGTGCGGGATACTTTGAAGGGAGAGATTCGTCGGGTCTTGGGCCGGTCGCCGTTCTTGGATCATCTCGAACGGATCGAGGACGGACAGGTGCTTGGGGATGTCTATGCTCGGTTTCACTCTATCAAGGTGGCCACTGCCGCCTATAACCTTCTGGAGAGTCATCCGAGCTTCCAGAAGTGTAAACTCCGGTTTCTGGCAGCAAGACCTTTGGCGCGGCAACCTCGTATCGGGATTTGGGATTGAAGAGCAGTCTCGTCTTTCCGCACGTCTGTACAGTAGCTAGCCTTTATATCGCTTCATTGCTGGCGTTAATGGAGATCCTTCAGTAGTAACCGGGACTTGGTAAGCAAGTAAGCAATGCCTAGAATTTCCCCGCATGGGGGCGGGTCTCCAGCATTCCTAGCCGAGCTCTCCCCGGCTTTGACCCATCCACAGTAACCATCGCATCATCCATTGCCATTGATCCGCGGGTACACTACTTAAGACAACACAGCTTCGATGTCATTACTCCAGCTGAATTCGGAAGGGAACTTGATCGCCGTGCTAGCGCATTCCACGGTAACACACACATAGCCGACTCAGACATGGAAGTCCTTGCTTCATCCTGTGCAGACTTCCAACGCGGGGAATAACCCTTCGTTTGGGCCCGACTAACTTTTGGGTTTCCTCCTCCAGTTTATCTCGGGCCAATCGTTCTCACGCTCACCCTTGGCGATCATTATGATGGGTTTCTCATTGGCTCCGTTGGCGCTGATCGGTCTGTCTATCCTCGCTTCTTGACCCTAGATCCTTCGCGAAGAGCATCGTCATTCAGCTGCAGCTACGATCACGATGGGATTACCAATTGCCGGAAGCCCACCCTTTAAAACGCTACTGGTACCTCCCCTCCTCCCTTCACTGCTCCTCTCCAGTGATTTCTTTTCGCTCCTCAACCTCCATCTCTCCCAGTGCCACACAACATCACAATGGCGCAGGTCGACGAGAAACCAGCGATGCACAATTCCTCCCGTGGTATGGTGGATACCGAAAAGGCTACTACAGTTCACGGCTCACCAGAGGAGTCACAACTGGATTTCCTGGATGACCCAGATGAAGGCTTGAGTGAGGAGGAAAGGGCGAAGATCGTGAGTAACCTGCCCAGGTCAACACTAATAGGGGTATTGAGCTGGACTAATGCAATCACCAGGATCGTGCATTACTGTGGAAACTTGATTTGCGGCTCATCCCGTGGTTGAGCTTGCTGTACCTGATTTCTTTCTTGGACAGGTATGCATAATTGCTCCAATGACCGTTTTGGAAATTAATGTGGCTTTAATAGAACAAATGTTGGCAATGCCAAGCTCGCTGGTCTCCAAGGGGACCTACATATGACTAATTCGCAGTACAACGACTCTTTGACCATTTTCTTCGTGTCATACGCGATCTTCGAACCTATCACCAATGTTCTCCTCAAGCGCTGGCGACCTAGCGTGTTTATTCCGATTATAATGGTAGTATGGGTATGGACAACGAGGTCTTACGCTGGTTGATCTGCGCTGATTTGAGACAGGGTATATGCATGACTTGTATGGGACTCGTACACAACTTCTCTGGGATCATGGCGGTGAGTGTCTGCATACATCAACAAGTTCCGAATAGCAGAATTCGCGCGGCGCAATTATTGGCCTGCTGACAGTAGTAGGTACGATGGTTCCTTGGCCTGGCGGAAGCCGGTCTCTTTCCTGGCGTTGGATACTTCTTATCCTGCTGGTACAAACGATCCGAATTCGGCGTTCGCATGGCCATTTTCTTCTCCGCCGCTGCCCTCGCGGGGTCATTTGGAGGATTGCTCGCGGCTGCGATCGCCCTGATGGATGGCATCGGAGGCAAGGCGGGCTGGTCTTGGATCTTCATTCTTGAGGGTCTGCTGACGATCGTCATCGGCGTGCTGTCTGTATGGATGGTCTACGACTTTCCGGACCAGGCCAAATTTTTGTCCGAAGCGGATCGCAAGCGTGTACTGCGTCGTCTGGCGGCTGACAAGCAGGCCAGTGCCGGGTACGAGAAGTTTGAGATGACTTATTTCTGGAGCAGTATGAAGGACTGGAAGACATATCTCAATGCGATCATCTACATGGGTTCATGCATGCCGCTATATGCATTCTCCCTGTTTACCCCGACTATCATCAATGAGCTAGTATGTCCTCTACATGTTGACTAGTGAACAGTACTAACCGTAATAGGGTTTGTTCGGTACTCCTCTGATTTGATAGGGATCTAACCAGCGCAGGTTATACCGCGATTCAGGCGCAGCTGCTCAGTGTCCCGCCCTATGCCGCGGCAGCTATCGTCACCGTGGCAATCGGTTTTATCGCAGATCGGACCGGCCAACGTGGCATCTGCAACATTGCGGTGTCACTCCTCGGCATCGCTGGGTTCTCCTTGCTTCTTGGGGCCAATTCCGCAGGTGCGCGATATGCAGGGGTATTCCTGGGCGCCATGGGCATTTACCCCGCGATCTCGAACACGATTTCCTGGGCCAGTAACAACGCAGAGGGTATGCATCTCAATGATACTAGTAGTGAAGAACCATGACTGACGGTGACAGGTGTGTACAAGCGCGGTGTCACGCTAGGTATTGTCATTGGCTGGGGCAACCTGAACGGCGTGGTATCATCCAACATCTACCGCGGCGGAGACGCGCCTCAGTACTATCCGGGTCACGGGGCGGTCCTGGCATATTTGGTGCTGTTCCTGTTTGGTGGATCACTCGTGCAGTATATTCTCCTCCGGCGGGAGAACGCGAAACGCCGTCGGGGAGACCGAGACCACTGGATAGCAGGACTGGAGAGACAGGAGATCGAGAAGCTTGGAGACAAGCGGCCAGACTTTATATACACGCTGTAGCTGTATTAGATCCAGCAGAAACCCAAACAACATCATCACTCACTTCCCCAATCCACAATCTATAATCTAAACCCCCTCCCTCACCGTATAATAATTCACAATATCCTGATCCTTCTTCGGCCCCTTGACCACATGTCTACTCGCCCAACTAACCACCTCCCCAATCCCATCCCCACCATCACTATCATCCTCCTCAGTCTTCACCACCCGAAACGCATACGCCGTCCGATACATATCATTAATACAAAGATGATTCCCCCTCGCCGTAACCACCACCGTCTGCTCCCCTCCCTTTCCTCCTCCGGGTATAGTCGCCGGCGGCGGCACCGGCGCACTCACAAACTCCTCCCCATCCCCATCCTCATCCCCACCACTCCCAGATTCATCATTATCAAGAAACTCCATCCCATGAAACAAATAATCCGCGACCTTCTCATCACCCACTTTCACAAACCAGACGGATAAATCATCCTTAACTGTAGGTGTGGATGTAGCTGTAGATGGGGATGATTTCAACCTCCAGATATAACTCTTCTTCCATTGGAGATTATGTCCGATGTGTGGCGGCAGAGTGCCCGTCTCGGTGTAGAGGAGTTGGCGCTGCGGGGAGGGGGGATCTTGTGTGCTGGTGACGGTGGTGTCAGGAAGAGAGGTGAAGGATGCGGTGCCGTGGAGGTTGCCGTTGATGTCGTGCGGGTTGGCGCTTTTGAGGACTCGGAGGAGGGTCCAGTTTTTGGTGGGGAGGGAGGTGAAGAGGGTATTCAAATTGAGGGTTGTCATTGTGGGTGCATGGTATGGTTGTGTGTAGTTGTGGTGGTGTGGTGGTGTGGTGAAGAGAGGGAGAGTGACGGAGTGACGGTGACGGAGGGATGGAGGGGAAGGGGAAGGGCGGGTGGAGATGCGGGAGGTGGGTTGTGACCCACTGAGCTAATAGTAGTGTTGGGTTAATGCTTAATACATCTAGTATTGAGCTATCATCAATAGAGTGAGTTTGATTATTCTGGAATTTCTCATTGACGATCTTCATTGATGATATAATACTAGATTATATCATTTATTCAATTTATTGTCTCTTGTTTGTTAATTTGCACATCCTATCTCTATTGATTGACCTGAATTCCCCGAACTCCGCTTTTCTATCTTTATTGAACAACGAACTATTCGCCAACCGATCTCTACTTCTCAAGTCTATTTCTATACCACTATCCTCGTTATGTAAACATGTACAGTCCATTTTATCCTCAACTGACCTCGGATTCTCTACAGATCAAACACACATCGACTCCCTTCCCGATACGTATTACGAATCCAATGTATAAATCCTGAATAAAGCTGCATATATCGAAGAAAACTTTTGCTCATTATTCTATCTGATTAACTTTTATCTACCCATAGAAACAACAGCGGGAGCATCTTTCCCTTTGAACAAGCATACACTCATCCACTGACGCAACAACTATCCCAGCAACACCATCTCACATCACCTAGTTGGGCCTAGGCGGATTCTGCGGCTTGTCGTCGAGAGGCTTCGGCTGGGGCTTGGGCTTGGGCTGGGGCTTCGGCTGAGGTTGAGGTTTTGGCTGAGGGTTCTTAGGAGGCTTCGGTCCATCATTGCGCTTCTGTGGGGTATTCGGGTCACTGAGAAGGGGCCCGTCCTTAGGAGGTTGGGGAATGGGCTTGGGCTGATCATGGGGCTGGGGATCATTCGCTGGCTTGGGAGCGTCGGGTGTAGGCTCATCTCTAGGAGGCTCTGGCCCGTCACGCTTATTGTTGTCGTGAGGCTTGGAAAGAGGAAAGTTAGGAGGAGGGTTGGGGTGGTGGTGAGGTTGGATATCAGTAGGGCCTGAGGGTGTTAGTATGAGGGTAACTATGTCACACTGTTGCAGAGCATACGTGGAGCAGGAGGAGCCGCGACAACCAGGCCAGCTACCATAAAGGTAGAAAAGGCTGCAGAGAACTTCATTTTGAGGATAAGAATTATGTGAAAAAAGGTCAAAAAGAGCCGGTCTTCTTTAATTGTGAGTTTGATGTTGCTGAGTCGATAGCCGGGCTTCTCAACGTCCCTTTTATATTTTTTCGACATGCATATTCGGAGCATCATCGGCCTCAACAGTCCTGTTCTCAACTATAAACTGGCAGAAAACTTTATCCGGTATTTCCATCCGAATGCTCTCGTGCTATCTTTGTCTAGACTGAATAAACTTTGCATCTACCAAACCATGGGCTTGATGTATCAGCCCTGCCGTGTTTCAACCTTGCATCAATTTAGCAGAATTCTAAGTAGAATGGGATCAGCATTGGATAAACCAGTCGAGAATTTTCCACTCATCAACAGTCTTAGAAAATATGTAACGACTAGCAGTTTCATCTCTGTTCAAACTACATTTACTTTTCTCCGCAACTGCCCCAAAATTGGGTCCAGGTACGGTGCCCATGCAATATTCTTCGGCTTCTCGGGCTGGCAGCGTTCGTCGATCATGAAGCTTAGCGTTCTAGATGTTGATCAGATGCTATGATCTTACTGGGATTGTGAGTCGACTTTTAGTTGACAGTCACTGACCATCTCATCAACCACAAATCAGGCGTATTGCAGGGCCAGTTTTCAAGATGTTGCTACATTCATATCACCAGTAAGAGCGAGCTTTTCCTAATATCCGGATAGGACATAAACCATATCTGTTCCTCGGAGAATGTCTAAGTTTTTATACATTCCCACCATGTTTCTGAACTGATACCTCCCAGTCTAAGATCCTGACTACCGGATAACCTTATATCCAGTCCCTGGACACTCAGACCAATCCCCAATTCTACCGGTGCAGGGTTTTCCTCATCTGAAACACTCGCAGAAGATATTTTCAAACAGTAGACCTATTTCTATACGCTCATACCATTTAACAATCTAGAACCAAGCAGCCTGACATACCTAACATATTCGGTAGGCCGTGTCCACTAGGGGCCTTTATAACCGGTCTGAAGCAAAGGAGAACTTTAAAAACAGGTACGGAAATTCTGATGCCGTAGATTATGCGATTGTAGGTAGTCGTTTGATATACTACCAACAATATAGGCATTGCGGATAAGAGGGAAACATAACAATATTCTAGTCATCCCTTCTTAGTGAATCTCTAGTTTAACGACCTTCTAATTCATGATTCATGAATATGGCAGCGCGGTAGTGTTCTTACTACTTACTTCTGTCCGTGAACAAGTAACATAAGTTTCTAATCCTTCACTCCAGCACAAGAATACAATAGAAACAAGCAATAAAAGGAAACCATTACTCAAATCTAGTAATCCTCTCCGTGATCGGCACTGCGAACCGAACCGTGAGTTAAATGAAACTTGGCTATACTTAGCGGGACGGGTTGCAAAGTTTGATCATGATATAAGAAACGAGCGGGAGAAGATTTTCGTGTGTTTGGTGTTAATCATTGCTTGGTTACTAGTTAACTTCTTAATCCTCGAGCTACCTCGTTGGGTTATCAATTATACTTCAGTATAGAGTCCTACTTTATAGCCGAATAATGTCTCTAAAAGGGTCGATATCGACCCTTTCATTAGGTAGATAAGATAGCGCCTAGCTATCATAGATCAAGCAATAGTATTGCCAGTACCAAACATTCAGCCAATACTTAGTAGTTGAGATATCATTTCCTAAGAGCAGTAAGAGACACCGAAAGCGGTAGTACCACTTTGTCTGAGCCTTTTCCAGCTGCGTTCCCCTAGTAAATAGTAGAAGCAGCGGCAGAAACCTACCCCGACCGCCCTATTGACCGCTCAAAGCGGCAGAACCTAGCGAACCTCGCTGCGAAAACCCCGGATTTAAGCGGATTTAAGACATTCCAGTTCTGAGAACACTCACCTGGAATCTGTATGTTTTTTGACCGCTTTTGGGCAGGGTGGCAGAAAATGGTCGCCAGCGAGTTGCCTACATTGGAGTATTAGTGTTGTTGTGGATATCGATGAGCAATATCTATTATTTTGATGGATGGTGTCTATCTGTGTGGTCGAGTTAAATGAATATGGCATGTTGTTGTCCTGTATAGCTTTATTTGTGAGACATTCGTCGTTGTTGACTTTGCTATACTAAGTATCTATAGGACCTAGGGCCTCTCCGTGGTCACAGTATCGTCTAGATACTCTTCTTTTTGATGAAGGATTTCATGCCAGTATGATGGAAGTAATACTACTAGTAAGGAGATTTCACTCTGTTTACCTGATGGTTGTTTTCATCGAAGAAGCGTATTTAATTGTTGCTTGTTGCCCGACCGAAACCAATTTCCTAATTGGCTTGATATCATATGCTTTTGTAGATGAACTAATATCATCAAGTTATGTCGAGATCAGAGCTCTGTATAATCAAATGCAGCCTAGTGCTCTATGCTACTAGACCAAGCTCATCGATCAATGCAACATGTGCGGGGATCATGGCGTGCGCAAGAACCCCGCATGCCACTGCCGACGATCCATCTCTATCTTTCATTCTTGAAATCTCGAAGTCAATCATCGTATCAATCAAGTCGTCCAAAATAGAGCAAATCATCCAGTCATGTCGTCACAAAAAGTCTATCTGGACCATCTACTTCTCCAATTCAGCAAGGAAGAGTTCGAGTGGCCGTCCAAATGGTTGACTGATCACTTTACCATCATTGATGGTGGCACTCATGCGGGTAAGATATCAATTGGCCCATGTTGACTATCGGATAAGATCTTTTGCACATGCTTATACCCGGCAGGTGGTCTTAGTCGCAACAAACTAATCATCTTCCCCGACGGAACTTATCTGGAACTCCTTAACTGGATAGCCAAACCTGAAAATTGGAGGGACCGACCGGGCGATTTTGCGCTTACTTCTTTGGCACCCGTCTCGGCCGAAGATAACCATGACCGTATAGTCAAAGCGCTGGATACCATCTCTGATGATAGCCTGGGGGTGACGTACTCGCAGCCGATCGACGGAGGACGTCAGACACCCAGTGGGGTTGATATTCGTTGGAAGCTACTGAAGGCACGTTATTCCGATACGCAGTCAACTACGCCAGATCTCCATCCTCGAGGCCGCACAGATGCACCCTTCTTCTGCCATGATGTAACGGACAGGGTTCTGCGCGTCCCGTATGATCAGTCTTCTGTCGTTGATCACCCGTCAGGCGCGACAGGGATTGCGGGCATCGAGCTGCTCGTGCCTAAAGATAGACTGCAATCCTATGTGGCCCTTTATACGTGCATAGTGGGAGCATCCCCGCGCTTGTCCACTACCGAAGCGGAGTTCGAGCTCAAAGCGCCGGGTTCCCTAGATTTCTCCGGGGTTCTTCGCATTCGGGCTGCAACGTCGGAAAATGATGATCAATATCTGCGGGAGAAAGGGATTGGCATTTCATCTCTGATAATCCGATCGAAAGCTATCGGGGATTTTCGATTTCCTGTATCAGATTATCTGCATTGAGGTGCTCGTGCTAACCCGTATGTACCAATGCAATGTTGCAACCTGTGCCGTAAGGTATTAGTCGAAGAGATGGATTATCAACCGATGTATCACTGTACTGCAGTCGCAGATATCAGTGCGTTGTAGCGAAATCATGATGTATGCGCATTGCCTGTATCTGATAACTTCATGAGGTCCTAGTAGGCCATAAGTAGTCCTAGATGCTCTTGCCAAATGTTCCAGAAACAGGCAGATGCCTGATCGAGCAAGGGATCTGTCATCCTGGCTTTTCCGACCGTATAATGATCTTTTTATAGGTCGCAGATCGATCAGGAGGTACATGGCCCTTGCTTATCATTTCCGCATTAGTAGAAATTGTTCTGGCATGCTAAAATGCCCGCGGGGCATCTGCTTGGAGTCAGCTGTGTTGCTCACCGCTGGAGTGGTCACTGGGATGAGCTCGTTCAGCTGCTTCAGCGCATGCTGCGGAGTCGTATCGCTAAAGGTAGCCGTACTTCTACTCCTATCTGCACCGGGTGAGCCACACTGGGACAGGTCCTGGTGGCGTCATGGACACATTCCTCCCTGCCCCTGGAATGACCGATCAGCCCGGGGATGAAGGAGATCGGTTCCATCCGGCATCCAGAGCGATCCGTGGATCCACGGCTTTTAAACTCAAATCAGAGGAATGTGTCAAACGATATCAACAATGTAAACTTAGAATTCATGTCAAGTAGATGTTAGATTGTTGAGTGGTGAGCAAATCGACCGATAGATCGAGGCCGAGTTCAGAGATTCATCAGTCATCCAAGGAGGCGACTGAAGTCAATAACTCTGAGACAATTCCCCAGGATTACACCCTCGCAATAACCCTGGATGTGAAGGTATCACGGCACCGTTGCATTGTGGGGCTTGGAACCAGGCGCCCCAGATTATTGGGAATAGTGTGCTGCAGAAGATACCCACAGGTCAGTTTGACAGGGCAACAGCCACGGATTCGGGACGACGCATGCGGCGAGGGTTGAGGGGGGAAAGACTGAAAGGGTCCGCGGAAAGCAGGAAGATGTAACGAGGGAGTGTTAGGGAGATGGGGACAAGTGGATCCCAGTTGCAGGGTGTTGAGATTTGAGGATGATGAAGATGAAGATCTGGGAAAGTAACAGACTACAGAATAGAGTCAAGAGGGGGCCAAGAAAAGAAGAAAAGAATGAGATGCGATGGGGCGCAAATCAGCGAGAAAGGCGTTCAGGGTCCAGACTGCGCGGCCATAGATTAAAATAACCGGCAACTAAACTGGAGGAGGAAAAGAGCATCAGCACGACTTCGTAAAGGACTCCATTCTTACGCAAACCTGGACTTCGGGCGCAAATGAATTTTCGGCGCTACGCAGTGGGCCTAACCAGGGCGAAGCAGGACTAAGCAGGACTAACCCCCAAGGCAGTAAGCATCATCCGCCCGTGTCTCCTCCGGCCGCAACCGGCCAGGCAATCCTTCCTCACTCAATCTTCCTGTCTCCTCTTCCTGCCCTCCTTTCATAATAATTATTCTATCGTTTCCTTATCCTATCTGGCCCTTTTCGCTCCCTCGCCTATTCCCGCTGTTGTCGAGGGCATCTCATCGGTCCATCGATCCCGTCACTCGTTCGACTCGGTCTCCCACCACTACCACCACTCTCAACTGCCACCTTCGCTACGCCCGTCCATCGCCAACCATTATATTCTTTCCCTTCCCGCCACCACTACCACTCACTCGCCTTGAACTAGATCATTATCGTCATATCATGGTGGGCACCTCCCAGTGAACGATTTCTCTCCCCCCCGACGGTCCCCACCGCCCTCCTTTCAGCCGCAAGATACCTCGTCATGGCACGTTGGCCCCGGGCCTTGACCCTCAGCCATGCTGCCAGTTCGACCTCGACCATGCTCTTCTATATCTCCTTGATCTCCATCGCTCTCTCGACCGTCGCTCGCGCTCACACAGTCTCCCTTCTCCCATCTGCCGCCTCGTCCGACTTCCCCTCATGTGCTTTGACCTGCTCGGTCTTAAAGGAGGCCCAGAATGAGTGTGTGCCTCCCGTCGCCGCCCAGACCGATCATGCGACCTACGTCTCGTGCTTCTGCCAGTCAGCTCTGCTCGACCAGATCCATTTTCCGACTGGGATCTGCACAGAAAGCTGCCCCAGTGCGTCGGATCGTGCGTTGATCCGGACATGGTATGACGAATTTTGCTCGTCCGAGGACACCCTCGCCGCAAGAGACACCACTACCTCCATTTTCGCGAGAGATGCGCGCTCCCAGACCTGGTAGGTAGCCCCCGCCCCAGTGACCACCTGGACCGGCGCAAATGTTAACATACCTAGGTGGACCACCCACTACCAGTGGGTGATCATGGTTATTGTCCTGGTGGTCGCGTTTTCCGTCATCACCGTCGTGGGCGTCTGGCTCAAGCGTCGCCATGACCGAAAATACCCTGGCCTCTACCACGCTACCAACACGGCAGGAACGGATAGCGCACTGTTGGCAGCCCGTCAGCAGGACAACAGTCCCTCACCTCAACCGGGACCTCCCCCACAGGGCTCGTTCAGACCCGGCCGATTCGATCCCACGTTAAACTCCGAGTCGATTGCCAGCAGTTCGCGCACCAATATCACCGCTCCGACGACCCGGCCCGCTCGAAGTTCGTCGCGTCTACAGAAGGCCCAGCCAGTCCCGGAGGGCGATATCGAAATTCGCGAAGTTCACCGGTGATCTCCGTGCATGATTACGGTTTCTTTCTTTTTGTTGTTTGCTTTTTCTCTTTTACTTCAAGTGTCAATCTTTTCCTACTTTGAGAGCGGGAGAAATGCGCCGTTCACAGCTTTAGTACCGGCATGACGTGGGTAAATCCAGTCGGGAAACAAATCCGCGCAGCTCGCGAAACAAACTTGCATATACCTGGCGTTCACGTGTTTGTGGGGTTCAACTGGGAAACTCATGTCCAGTTTCAGTCCGATTCCCTATCGTCCCACCCTTACACATCTTTTCTTCTTCGTCGTCTTTTGACTCTCTGCCTCACCTGCTCCGAATGATTGTGCATAAATATGGTTCAGGTTTTCATTTGGCTGTGGTTACTTTGACTCTTGTGATCGAATATAGTCCTTTCCGTTGCTCGCTTTCTTTGATGCATCGATTTTATACTCCTATACTCGGAGCATGACCAGGATCGAATATATATATATGACTGATTTGTAAGATTCTTATTTTGATCGAGCAGGGAATGCACCTACCAAAGCAATAACCAAATTCAATGAGAACAAAAAGTGACACAAATATACTGTTTTCAAAGTGCCTTAGGGTCAATATTGCAATCTGCCAATACATCACTATCTTCATTTCAGGGTCAAACTACTACTTACTCTGAAAACTAGTACTAATATGACATAAACTTATATTTCTAAATACTAATTCATTAAACCCTTAGTCTAACCCAAAAATAGTGCAATAATAGGGAATACTATCGGATATCTCACAAACGAACTACCAATGCTTCTAATGCATTTTTGTCATAACTGACAATAACCTTAACTCAATAATAAATCACTGGCATCAGCAACTTCCCAAATGATTCCGTCGCACGGGGATAGTACTAGTAGTACTTTCTCCTTCATTTGTTTCTCCTATGGAGCACTACTTATACACTATATTGATCATCATGGAACGGACACTGGAATATCAAGTGTACTTACTTATACTATCAACCCACTCAATGGTCATAAAGGTTCCCAGCAATACATGATATAAATCATACGATGTCTAGATGGTCGTTAAGGGCCGTCGTCTTTTACAATCATTCTTGTAACTATGAATTGTCATCAGAGCATTCCACCCAGGACTTTCGTAACTGCCGTGGCTCGAATAGTATACTCGAGAGGACATTCTTCATGTCACTAGATGGATACAGCATCGTTTTTCAGTACTGACTTCAATGATATACTTTGAGTGCTAATTTACAGGGTAGTAATATAGTATAGAAAAAGGTGGTAAATAAAAACGCAAAGCATCGCTGAACCCATGAGACAAGAACCAATATACCAAACCAAACCACACAATAAGAACAACCCCCTACGTAACCGTTATACTGACGATCTTGATATCCTGTTCCGGCTTCTCCTTGAACGTCTTGGTATTCTCAATCTTATGCACGACATCCAAGCCCTGCACTGCACGGCCAAACACCGTATGTTTCCCGTCCAACCAGGGCGTCTTCTCCGTCGTGATGAAGAACTGACTTCCGTTGGTGTTGGGGCCCGCATTGGCCATGGACAATGTATACGCTTTATCGTGTTTCAGACTGGAGAATTCGTCCTCGAACTCGCCGCCCCAGATGGATTCACCGCCTGTGCCGTCTCCTAGCGGATCACCACCTTGGATCATGAACTTGCGGATGACACGGTGGAAGATGGTGTTGTTGTAGTAGCCGTTGCGGGCATGGGTGGTGAAGTTCTCGACGGCTTTAGGAGCAGCGGAGGGGTAGAGGCGGAGGTGGATGTCGCCCATGGTGGTGTGCAGGATGGCGGAGGTGCCCAGCTCGGCGGCCTTGGGAGCGGCGGCTTCACGGCCGGAGGCGGCTTCGCGCGGCCGTTCGTTTTGAATGTCGCGGTTTGATTTGGAGATTTCGGTGTCGTTCGTGAATAGGTAGAAGCGGACCTTGGCGAATCCTGTGCTGACGAGGATCGGATCGCGTTCTTCGGCTTCTTGGAGGAGTGGGTTGGCACTGGCGGCCATGGATACGGTCACGACGCCCTTCTTTTGCGGTTGGCCTTGGTACATGGCGAGGTTGAGGGAACGGAAGGGCTCCTCTTTGGCATAGACGCGGACGACGCGGTTGGTGTAGGTGTTGATGCATTTAATGCCGTAGAGGGAGCCGTAGAGGATGAAGTGGCCGGATTCGTCGAAGAGGACATTGATCTTGGGCTTGGTGATGGGGTTCTCGAGTTCCCGTTCTACGGCAAGTCGGCGGCCGAATTCGAGCTCGTCGAGCTGGTAGATGGCTGTGCCAGCTTGTTGCATTGCAGTGATCGTGGTCAGCGATTCGTCGTACTTGCGGTAGAGTTTGCCCGTGGCAAAGTCGAAGACGCGGACTTGACGGTCCGGGAAGGAGACGGCCGCGAATTGTTGGCCGGACGGGGAGATGCACAGCGACGCTGGGACTGACTTGGCCTTTCGGAACTCGAAGAGGTTGGTAGAGGACTTAAGCTCGAAGACATTGTCGGGTTTCTCGAAGGAGCCGTCGCCCGCTCGCCAGTACTCAATCATACCGGTGTCGTCGGCGGAGATGACACAATCGTAGGCGTCGTTGAAGGCAATGGCGGCCACAGGACTGCGGTGGATCGATTTGACGGTGTGCAGAGGGGTCTGGTTTTCACCACGGCCATCGAAGACCTGGATCATGCTGCTTTCTTCGTCTGTGACGGCCAGCAAAGGCAGTGAGGCGCCCCGACGATGGACCCAGCATACGCAACGCGGCGTGAATTCGAGGGTGAGCATGGCAAGAAGGTCTGCAATAGGGTTAGTATAACCGGTCGCGGCAACATCAAAGAGTTTATATGCATACCAAAGGTGATCACATCAAAGATTTTGACCGTCTTGTCTGCTCCGGTCGTCGCAAAGCTTCTTCCATCGGCGCTGACGCTGACGCTCTTGATCTCCGAAGTGTGAGCGCGGAACTCCTTCACGAACTCGACACCGACTGCCATCTTCTTCCAAAACTTGACAAAGCCATCAATGGACGAGGTTATGAGGAAATCGGTATGCGGAGTCACGGTAACGAAGGACAATTGGTCCTTGTGCATGAGAGACTTGGAGTACCGCGGCGACGCGGGCAGCGCGTTTACGTAGACCTTCTCGAAAGGGAGCTTGCGACGCTTCTTTTTCGGTGCATCAGCGGTAGGGAGGGCCGGTCCGAAGTCATCGTCGGAAGATGAGTCGTCTCCTAGAAGAGCTGGTCAGTAGCTATTCAACTGCGCATCTTCTCTTCATGGTAGCTCGTAGGAGCTGGTCCGACAATCGGGGACGTACCATTCTCGTCGCTGCCATCCACGGCGGAATGGGGGCGCTTGTTGGTCGCCAGCTTTTGTTCCTCCTCTGCAGGCATTTTAGAAAGAATAAAAGGCAATTTAAGAGTAAATAAAGGGATGAGCAAGATAGCAGCGCTGGTCAAGAGACGATGGAGGAGCAAGGCCGGGCGGTCTGCCACCGCCGGCGGAGCTCGGGCCACATCGCGAACTTTTCTGGTTGTCCCGCATTGGTTGGCCTCGCCGTCTCTGAGTCCTCACCGTCCAGGAGAAGCATCCCCCCCTGAGCTGCCAGTCTTTTCCCCCGACGGTAGCCCATCCTTTCATCCACATTTAGTCACCATGGTATGTTGTTTATGATGTCCTTGCCCTTTTTACGTCGCCTTTTAAGTAAATACTGACCGCCCCTCAAGGCGTCCTTCGCCAATCCCACGCAGATCTTTGCGGACGATGTCATCGAAGAGAAGGGTGAGAATGCTCGTTTGTCCGCCTTCGTCGGTGCCATCGCCGTCGGAGACCTGGTGAAGAGCACCCTTGGTCCCAAGGGAATGGACAAGATCCTCCAGTCAGCGTATGTGGGATAATCCGTGAAGCTAAGCGGGGTTGCACCCCACGAGCACCACACTGATGTTATGGCTGATCTAGGTCGACCGGAGATATCCTCGTTACGAATGACGGTGCTACAATTCTCAAGTCAATTGCTCTCGACAACGCTGCGGCCAAGGTTTTGGTCAACATCTCGAAGGTGCAGGATGACGAAGTCGGTGACGGCACCACCTCCGTGACCGTGTTGGCTGCGGAGTTGCTGCGGGAGGCTGAGAAGCTCGTCAACCGCAAGATCCACCCCCAGACCATCATCGAGGGATACCGGATAGCTAGCAAGGCGGCTCTGGAGGCTTTGGAGAAGGCGGCTGTTGACCGTAGTGCCGATATGGAGTCGTTCCGCAAAGACCTTCATGCCATCGCTCGTACCACCCTCAGTTCAAAGGTCCTGGCCCAGGACCGTGACCAGTTCGCTGCCCTCGCTTGTGACGCCGTCCTCCGTCTCCGTGGCTCGACCGACCTGAGCCACATTCAGATCATCAAGAAGGCCGGTGGCAAGCTTAGCGACTCCTACCTCGATGAGGGTTTCATCCTCGACAAGAAGATCGGTGTGAACCAGCCCAAGCGCTTGGAGAACGCCAAGATTCTGGTCGCCAACACGGCCATGGACACAGACAAGGTGAAGATCTTTGGTGCACGGGTGAAGGTCGAGTCGACAGGCAAGCTGGCGGATCTCGAGAAGGCGGAGCGCGAGAAGATGAAGGCCAAGGTTGAGCGGATCAAGGCTCACGGAATCAACTGCTTCGTCAACCGTCAACTCATCTACAACTGGCCCGAACAGCTGTTCACCGAGGCTGGCATCATGTCCATCGAGCACGCCGACTTCGATGGTGTTGAGCGCTTGGCCCTGGTCACTGGCGGTGAGATCGCCTCGACATTCGACCACCCCGAACAGGTCAAGCTGGGTCAGTGCGATGTTATCGAGGAGGTCATCATTGGCGAGGATACGCTCATCAAGTTCTCGGGCGTGGCTGCCGGTCAGGCATGCACCATTGTGCTCCGTGGTGCCACGGAGCAGCTGCTCGACGAAGCCGAGCGCTCTCTCCACGACGCTCTGGCCGTGCTCTCTCAGACTGTCAAGGACCCCCGGGTGACCCTGGGTGGTGGCTGTGCCGAGATGGTGATGTCCAAGGCCGTTGAGCAGGCCGCTCAGAACACGACCGGCAAGAAGCAGCTGGCCGTGGACGCGTTTGCGTACGCTCTCAAGCAGCTCCCTACCATTCTGGCAGACAACGCTGGTCTGGACTCCAGCGACCTGGTGACGCGACTACGACAGGCGATCAACAACGGCATGACCAGCTCCGGACTGGATCTGCTCACCCCGGGCGGTGGCATTGCTGACATGCGCGAGTTGGGTGTTGTGGAGAGCTACAAGCTGAAGAAGGCGGTAGTGTCCTCCGCGTCGGAGGCTGCAGAGGTAAGATGCTTTCCCCGAATCTATCTAGCAAAGTCGATTATACTGAGACTAACCACCTTACAGCTTCTCCTGCGTGTCGACAACATCATCCGGGCTGCGCCTCGTAGACGTGAGCGTATGTAAGGGACGAGGGAGATGTCAAGTAAATATCCAATATCCAATCTTATGTGAGCGTGGAAAATAATGTGAACTTGATTCGAACCCGCCAGAGATGATTTAGGTGGATGACATCCACTATGTGCTTTATCGGGAGCGTAATTACAATGCTATAGACCATTCGATGAAAAAAAGCATCTGACGAATGACTTTGGAACATGCTTATGTTTCTTTTTTCTTTTACGTAGGCGATGACACTCGTGCTGCCTCTCGCTGCCTTCACGTCATGATCAGGTATGATCTGCTTACCATCGATTGGGGGCTGCGTAAGAGTGTCCATGAACCTACGCTGTGTAGTAATTGCAGCACTCTGATCATCACAGACACGGGAGTTTAGAGCTGGTGCGATGTGGGTCGAAGGAGTGTTCCTGCCGCCGACCAGCCATCATTTGATGTGGTACAACATATGCCCTCAAGTATGACGAACTCATGTTTATCCCAGCTCTTCCTTCAGATACAGGGACAAGGCACCCCTCGAGTAGCAGTAGGCAGAAACACAATGGAAGTAGGACAGCACCAATCGAAATTACTACAACTACTAGTCCTCTGCTATTATAGACAAAATAGATATCCTGTAGGTAAAATTGCCCCAAATGTACGAGGGCATGGGAAAATTGTAGCTACACCCGGTCATCGTGACAATTACTAACTAATTAGTTAATTAGACAATGATGGCTGTGTCAGAGCACCATCTGCGCCAAGGATGATAAGCGGTCGAGGATCCAAAATCAAAGGTGGTTGTGCGCACCAAAAATTTCCTGGCCGATCATTCCCAGCAGCCAAGACTGACACGGGCGATTTCCTATATTTAGTGAGCGTTTTTAATGTTGTGGGGGAGGGACAGCCTGACTGTGAGTTAGTACTTATTTCTCCGAATATGTGCATTTGAGACAAAGGGTGTGTGGTGGTCGGTCGCATGTGCCATTAGTGATATATAGCATGTATAATTTTAATTATTTTCTTATCGCTCGAATACTGTCCTGTCTATAATTTTATAAGGCTGCTTCTGTCTCCTCGTTAAGACAAGATTATTCTGTTAGCGTCCAGTGAAGTATTCCGCGGGGCGATCGATGGGGCACGCCCCCGCAAGAACGGGCCAGTCAGGATCCCCCGCGGCAAGCCATTGCGCGTTCGGCGGCCCTCCCAAGGCACCACAAGCAACTGCTGGACCCTGAAGCTAAAGCCCGAAAGTTTAGTAAGTAACTCCAGTTCCCAGGGTCCAACAGAGTCACAGACAGTGCGCCGGACTAAGCTAGTAGTTCTTCGGGTCCCTGAACATGGGATGGATGGAATACGACCCCATGGCTCATAGCGGAAGGGGTTACGATCCACTGCTACTACATTTCGTGATTTTATTACCACCCTCCCACTCCGGTACCACCCCCCCCAGTGACCTGATGCCGTCACTGCAGTCTCACCACTACAAGCTGGTCCTGTACCACTCGTTCTTCTTCTCCCATCGTTTGTCATTTTGACTGCTTTGACTGGTCTAGTCAAGATCTCTCAAGCTCTGTCAGCACTTGCTTAGAATCTTTTCGCTCGTTTGGATCCCCAGTCGCAAGGCTAGACGTGGTTGATCCCCTCATTCCTCTCCTTCCCCCTCCCTTCCGCATTCCGCTCACCACGTTCCGTCTTCGTCAACGGAGATTTTTTTCATCACTTCATCCGCGTCTTGATGCTGCTGTCTTCTTCGTCCTTCACTTGAAGTTTCGCATCTGTGGCTATTGACGATGGTTGTGCCCGGCTGGATATGGGCGGTCTTTCTGACCATATTTGTCTTCTTTCAGAGAACAGTGACTGCTCTGCAGCTGGACATTAACGATGAACGTAAGTAGTTCGACTTGTGCAGAATGCACCCAGGTGCAGAAACTAATCATTGCGCAACGGTAGAATCCATCAAAGATGCCGCCAGAACAACGGCCTTCAACATGATGAGCTACTATCATGGCAACGAATCAGGTCAAACACCAGGAAAGCTGCCCGATACCTGGTGGGAAGGTGGTGCTATGTTCATGACATTGATTCAGTATTGGTATTGGACTGGCGACTCCTCTTACAATGAAGTTACCACTCAGGGTATGCTCTGGCAGAAGGGCGACAATGACTACTTCCCAGCCAACGATAGTAATTATCTGGGTAATGACGACCAAGTCTTTTGGGGCCTAGCTGCCATGACGGCTGCAGAACTAAACTACCCCGAACAAGATGGCCAGCCGTCATGGCTGTCGCTCGCCCAAGGTGTCTTCAACACTCAGGTCCCCCGATGGGATACTTCCAGCTGCCAGGGTGGACTGCGTTGGCAGATTTGGCCCTACCAGGCTGGTTATACCACCAAGAACGCCATCTCGAACGGAGGTCTGTTTCAGTTAGCCGCTCGTCTGGGACGTTACACCAATAATGATACATACACCGACTGGGCGGAAAAGATCTGGGACTGGAGTGCAACAACACCTCTGCTGCAGACGGAAGACTGGTACATTGCCGACACGACCACTACAGAGGCAAACTGTAAGGATCACGGTGATATACAATGGACGTACAATTATGGAACCTACCTCAGCGGCGCCGCATACATGTACAATCTGGTCAGTGCTATTGCCTTTGATCTTTGCTTCGATCTTTTCTTTGATCAATGCTAATTGATTCTAGACAAACGGCGCCGACAAGTGGAAGAAAGGTCTCGACGGTCTGCTGGCAAGTACCTTCTCAAGGTTCTTCCCGAAGGAATACGGCAGTAATGTTATGTCCGAGGTTTCCTGCGAGCCTAACATGATGTGCGATCGGAATCAGGACTGCTTCAAGGGCTTCTTGTCCTCCTGGCTTACCTTTACTACAACCATTGCGCCCTATACTAGCGATCAGATTATTCCGAAGATCCAACAATCTGCCCTGGCAGCGGCGAAGCAATGCTCGGGAGGCGACTCTGGTACCCAGTGCGGGCGGCGGTGGTACCAAGCGCAGTGGGATGGCGAGACATCGCTTGAGACTGATATGAGTGCTCTAAGTGTTTTCTCGTCAAATATGATCACGCATCGGCAAAGCCAAGGTGGCCAATCCCAGGGACCATTGACATCGGACACTGGCGGTACCAGTCAAAGCAACCCTAATGCAGGAACCGGTCCAACGGATGCACCTAATAAGCTGCCTGATATCACAACTGGAGATCGTGCAGGTGCATCTATCCTTACCGTTCTTTTTGTTGGAGGCTGGGCTGGTGCTATTACCTGGCTGGTCTATGGAGGTTGAGCGACATTCGAGATCTTCACTTTTCACTATGTACATAATCTGCTTCATTGAGGCAGAGACGGCTCTGTCGCTGTTGTTCTTTTCTCTGCGATTTGCTGGTTTGGGTCTTCTTCTGGGTTTGGCTTATTGCGCATCGCGGCCTTGTATTAAAATTTGTGTAGTGTCTTGGAGTTTTTGGCTTGGAGGGATATTGGAGTTGTGGTGTTTGGAGCGAGTCAAGCTCCGCAGCCGGAGGACTCGACTTTGGGATAGCTATTGAATAACAGACTTGCTTCTAGCTTTGGTTTTGCTTTTTATATGAGACGGAGTCCGTCTCACCGAGCGATAGCAGTTTTTCACGCCAATGTCTATCGGCGCGACCCCAACTTGACTCGTCAATCCGCTCTCTATAGCCTGTAACTATAGCATTTCCCAATCCGGTTAAGACCAGCCACGCCGCCCTAATCTGGAAAGCGGTCAGACGCGCTGCAGGCTCCACGGCGGGCGAGCCAATAAGGCGGTGTCGAGGCGACAATATTCATCAGATAGAGCGATAGATTCACTTCTTCTGGCAGCAGCAGGAAGGGGACCACAAAACACCTGTCAATCCCCTGGCCCATGGTCCAAGGTCGGTGTTACTCGCTGACACTTACCGTCCCGCCATTCAATTCCACCTTCTCACCTCCAGACCTCCCTCTACAGCTTCATCTCCCTTCCCCATCCATCCCGCCATCCAAATACGATTTATCATATAACTGATCACTACACCACGCTTTACTTGCTGCACGGATAATGCTCATTGCAGCTTCCCCTGCTGCTGCTACTTCAACCGCTTGACACACACCGATTGCGCGCATCCCATCCTTCCTCCGCCGATATGGTCTTCCTACGTCTTCGAGTCAAGGTCTACCCGCGCGAGCAGGTTGCGCCTACGCCATCCTTTTCCTTCCGCTCGATCCTCGGTGATCGCGATCGCGATCGCGATGACGCCAGCCGCAGTGCTAATGGCTCGGGCGGTGGTAAACCCGTGGCATTTCTGCTTGTACTTGAGAAGCCCGAGGATATTACGCTGGGTGGACTGGCTGGGTTGATTCAGGATAAGTGGAGGAAGTTGAGACCTAATGCGGAGTAAGTGCATGACTCTCTGGCTTGTCTACTCTGTCGTGCTTGGGATGAGTTACGTGTACTACAGACGGATTGGCTAAATCGCGTCATGTTAGACCTCTGGACATTAAGAAACTCCTCGACGACGATCATGAATCCGATGACCTCGATGCCGATATGACTGTCGCGGAAGTGTTTGTCGATAACGGTAGAGCACGCCAAGATATGTCCGACCAGCGGGGTACCGTTCGTGTGATACAGAAGCCTGGTCAATATGCCCCTGTGCGGTTCCCCTCCGTCACCCAGGACTGGGATGCCGCTGCGCAGAACTTTGAGCGCCAGATCCAGGTCAAGAAGGAGGCTGTTAAGAAGGCGATGGATCAGATTCCGACCATCCATGAAGAGGAGGGTAATGAGTATTCGAATGCTGGCTCTGCTAGTGCACGGTCGTCTGCGTGGAGTCCCTATGAGAACCGTCGGTCAGAAATCCCCGTTTCGTCTGTCGAAAAGGATGAAGTTCCAGGCTCGCCTGCGCCTTGGGAGAAGAAGCCGGTACTGCATGAAGAGGATTCTCAGAATCAGGTTGGCAGCAGTATTGCAGCTACACCTTTGCATAAGCGTATGCAGAGCCAGGAATTAGGGGATTCCCCATCGCACACCCCGACGCCTGAAGAGCGCACTGCATCTAGACACAGTTCCTCGCAAGGATCTGCAAAACAGCAGGTGAAGCCCGCAACGGAAGGGCAAGCTAATAGCTCGCATGAAATGGAAAGTATTGATGGATCTCTGTCGCCGTTGAGTACTCGGAAACCACTCCAACGTCGACAAGTACCTGAAACCCAGCCGCCAGCCCCGGTCGTTAATGTTGACAGTGAGAGCGAGAGCGAGAGCGAGAGCGAGAGTGAAGACGAGACAGGAGACGAAAATGACGAGAACATGTCTCCCCCATCTGCTCAGAAGAACAAGCTCCAGAACGGCGATGTCGATATGCACGATACGGTGGAACCTACGCAGGAACAGCCGCAGTCCAGCTCGCGCAAGAGGAAGTTGAGCCAGGACGACTTCGAACCGAGCAAGGAGCCCCGCCTTTCTGAGCCAGGAAGCACACATGATACCCCCAAGGGCAACAAGCACGGCACGGTGACAGTTGAGGTGAGTCCGTATACTCCGAGCAAGCGCGCGCGAACCCCATCAATTGGATTTAGCCCCCGCCGAAGCTTTTTAATGCGTGCCCCATCCGCGCCCCCAAAACATGGTCTAGGCTTGGGAATCACAAAAAGCCCTCCTAACAAACGACTTACACGCTGTTTGATCCAGGACTCGGCCATCCCCCAACCCGACTTTTTGGCCCCTAATGGTACCCCGGAGATCCCCAGCAGCGCCCCTACTATTCGCCGTGGCTCAGTATCGCTTGCCCCATACTCGACGCCGTCGAAGGCCCAGGCCCCCCTTGACAAGGTCAAAAACTTGCACTCCGCCTTGCGCAAGAGCTCCCCTGCTGAACGACCATCCGAGCGCCGATCAGTATCGTTCGCCGAATCCGACGAGGTAGTATTTGCTGGGTCTCAACCAGTGCCAAAGTCGAACCCTCAGAGTACCTCGAAAGCTCACGCCAAGGGTTCAGACGCCAACCGGAGGACATCCGATCCAAGCTCTATGGTCTTCCCTGCTTCTGTGCCCAAAGAGCGGCTGGACCAGCTCTTGGAAGAAGCAAACAGGAAAATCGAGCAGGATAAGCAATACGAAGAGGAGTTGCAGGCTAAATTACAGACCGCACGCCAGCAGAAAGGCAGTGCTGCGTATATCCGCAAGCTACAGGAACTGTCGGACGCATGGACGGCTCTCAAGAAGGCCGAAAAGCACCAAAAGACGAAAACGGTAGCTCAGCGTAAGTTCGACTCGCTTCAGAAAGAGGTCCACAAGCTCGAGGCTGCGCAGAAATCAAAGACAGCTTCTGCCACACCGCAGAAGAAACAGCAGTCTACGACACCACGCTCTCAGCCCGCTGATGCCGCCAGATTGCCGACGCCGCATGACACGAAAGCTGCGAATGGCACCAAATCTCCAGCTTCGGAAAGCCGTGCTCAGCCTCAGAAGTCTTCTCCTATGCAAATGCGGACCAGATCAGCTAGCAAGGTGGACACTTCCCCGAAGATTGCAAGCGAGCCTCAGAGCTCTCTAGTTTCAGACAACCTGGACCTGCCGCCCATGAGCAGAACCGTTCACAGAGCCGGCTCTTCCAAACCAGATGGAACACCAGCCCGTGCAAGCACGGTGAAATCGCCCGAGAAGGCTCCTAAGCCGTCCCCGCAGGCACCGATCGAGCTGTCGTCTGATTCAGAAGAGTCTGAGGAATCCGAATCCGAATCAGAGTCGGAGTCGGAGTCCGAGGATGAGGAAGAGAAGAAGCCTGCGATCCGTCAAACAGCCTCTTCACCAGTGAAAGGCAACACCGCAACACCCACTCAAGTTTCAGCCTCGCAACCAGCTCCGTCACAGACATGGGCACGTCCTTCAAGTGCGACGCGCACAACGCGCACGACGCTAAAGTCATTGATCCAGAACCAGAAGAAGGAGCTGGAAGCGAAAACGCAGCCGAAACGGGCGGCAAACTCGCTGCCACAGAAGCGAAGCGTGTACTCGCCGCCGTCAGATGATGACAGCGATAGTGAAAGCGAGAGCGAGAGTAGCAGCAGCGACAGCGACAGTGATTAAACATACCTTTCTCATTCGACCTCTACATTAAAATTATGATTTTTCCGGGTGGTTGTATCATCATCAACAACAACATTATTGTCAAGCGCACTGTGTTGGCATTTCGGCTTTCTATCTGATATAGCGACAATATTTTATCTCAGTGATATTTGGACGTGTGCACCTAGCAGCAGCATCTGGCGTGCATTTATGTATGTATTGTTTAGTTCCAATGAACAATGAACAAGATAGCAGCACTAGTAACAATCAGACACAAGATCAACTAAGGCACATTCACCCCATTCTCCTCCCCCTCACCCACACCCTCATCCTCCCTCCCCATCATCCCCTCCACCTCCCTAACCTCCCAATTCCACCCAAACACATCCTCCACCTCCCCCGTCTGAATCCCCTGCAACAAACCCATCAACCTCCTACACACCGGCCCTCCCTCCCCCTTCCCACCACCACCATCCCCACACTCAAACCCCCACTTCTCCCCGCGACTCTTCATCGTAACACTCCTAACAGGAACCAACCCCGCCGCCGTCCCCGCCGCAATCACCTCATCAAACTCCCGTATCTCCTCATACTTCACAATCCTCTTCTCCACTTGATACCCAAGCATCTTCTCCCCGATCTCCAACACCGACGCCGCAGTCACAGAATCAATCACGTTATCACTATCCGGCTGGACCAGCGTCACATCCTCCCCCCCATTGCCATATTTAACCCCGATAAACGCACTCGTCGAAAACTCATCCACCTCGCTCCGCGTCTTACTATCCAAATGCAACGTAATCCCATACCCCTCCTTATACGCCGCCATACTATGTCTCTGGACGGGCGCATAGTTGCCCCCCGCTTTAGCACTCCCTGTGCCCTTTGGCGCTGTGCGATCGTAGTCCTCCAGGATGAGCGCGTCCACGGCGGAGATCCCGTGGTATAGGCCTGTCGGTGTGACGTACACCGCGAAGGTGAATGTTTCTGGTGGGGTGAGGGAGATTTGGGGTGATGAGCCGAATACCAATGGTCGGATGTAGAGTGCTGAGAGGCCACCTCCTGTGAGGGACGGGTTGGTGTAGGGGGGGACGTATTCGGCGTTGGTGGCTACTGCGAGGTTCACGGCGGAGAGGAAGATGGGGGTGGGGATTGGGGGGATCGAGAGGAGGGTGGAGGAGTGGGAGAGGCGGGAGGCGTTGAGGGTTGGGCGGAAGATGGTTATTTTGTTGTTGGTGCTGGCATGGCGAAAGGCTTTTAGGCCTTCGTAGGCTTGTTGGCCGTAGTTTAGGGCTGGGGAGAGTCCGTGGATCGAGAGGTAGGGGGATTTGATTAGTTGGGGGGGTGACCAGGTTTGGGTTTGGGAGTCGTAGGTTGATTCGATATGGTAGTTTACTGGTATTCAGTCAAGTTGATTAGTGGGTTGTTGGGGGTGGTGAGTTGAGATGGGATGGATGGGATGGATATACCGTCGCGCACTTTGAAGCCGATGTTGGTCCAGTCGATGGAGGGGGTCGGGGGTGGGGGGAAGGGGGGCATTTTGGTTGTTTGTATATTCTAGATGTGGGGTGAGGGGAAAAGATGTAAAGAGTAGATAAAGGTGATGGAGATAGACTACTGTCAGATATAAGATAGATAGTTAATATACATAGGCAAAGCAAGGTAGCAAGCGGAATGCTGCGCATGTGGAATGCCGGAATCGCTATTGGAGTTCCCCTCTACTTTGTCTGCATCCGTACTGCACCTGAGGAATGTGGTTCCTCGGCTGGATGCAGCAGTCAAGTTAATTCCATCCATGGGTCGCTGTGCAGTGCAGTACATCTCTCCGCATTTCGGCTTTTATCCCCGCAAACTTTAGTATTTGGCTAGTTGGGTGGGTATGGTTCCATTAGCAGCATTCTCGAAGGAGAATACGGGATCAGCAAGATCAGCTGTCAGGTTCTACCTTGTTCCCTGTGCGCATGTTATTAAGACAGTGTATTACTACTCTGTGAATTTAGACCTGGCTGGAATATTGAGAAAGCCCGTATTCCGTCAGCAGGATACGGTCAATGTTACCATTCCGCTCTGCTCACCGGTTCAGTATTTCAGCTCCCTCTTTCACTGGGAAACTCTCATTATAGCCCAGCACACTAATACCCATGCCAAGCAAAGGGCTATCGAGGGATGCTTACATGACAGGGTTACTGCCCTCATACCTCGTCCGTGCATCTTACGCGAGATATTGCCCTTCTTTGTGTGAAGATCAACCCTAAGTACCTCAGTGACTGAGCCTTGCATAACACAATAACTAGTTAGTGGGTTAATATGGGTGGTGGCTGGACTTGAAGTCAGGCCGTGGCGATAACACCATCGTTTGTCGGTGTGGTGAGACCCTTTAGTCACAATCACGCCCTTGATAACTAACACCCTTGATAGTACAAAGTAAGTACCCTTGGAATATGAATACTTCACTTCTGTGATGTACTCCTTCTCCCCTGCTTCACGCAACCCAGTGCTGTCATTCCTTATTTAGTAAGATCTCTGCTGGCATATGCACTGCAAGGTCAGAACAAGTCAGATTGTCTGCTGCAGAGTGAAGTGTGAACTGGCTATATTTGGGTCCATCTCGGCCCGCGCAGGAGAATAGTATGGGGCGGGTAGAGTGGATATCTGCCGCGACGGGAAGAACAGAGATCGCTACACAACCAGGGAAGAAGAGACAGTGATCAGCGAGTGAAGTAGAGTGGTAGAATGTGATTGCAATATGAATGAATACCGAGAATACCTTATTGTTCGAGATATATTATTATTTATAAAATATGTTCGAGTATTCACTTTGAACAAGGAAGTAAAGGGATACCCCTGTCTTACTTGTATATTGACTAGCCGTGTCGGGAATCCATCCCCGTCCCGATGCAAAAGTCGCAAACGCGTCAGCTCACGTCACGTGCGCACAGCCTCCCCTCGATGCCCCCAATCCAATCCAATTCATCCATTCTATTCCATCCTATTCATCCGTTCAATGCTGCCTCTCAATTGCCCTTTTGCTCTCCATTCTTCTCCCTGCTGCTTCAGCTCCTCCCACGCGGATCCTCACAACCGATGACACCCCCCGTGCCATCGGATCCCTCACTCTCCAGTTTCTCTCTCCATCTGGCCCACTGTATTGGAGTCCCTCAGCATGCGGTGGCGGCTGCCTGGCGCCCGGTCGACCCTTCCTGCCAGTGTCGCACTCCTCCTGCTCCCCGTTCTTGTTGCTCCGCAGCAGTGGCATGAACCTCACCATGAGCTCTCCTCCACCGTTTCCGTCCCCCTCCGACCGACCGGTTTCACCTCCGGCGTTGATGCTCCCCCCTCTTTCGACGTGAAATCCAACGATGCGAGCGCCCTAGCAACCCTGGCTCTGGCCGGCTCTGGCCGCGCCGTTCGAGCCCCTCCTGCCCAGGTCAGCAGCTCTTCCGCTGGCCTGGCTCCGCAGCTTCACGCGCGGTCCCTGCAGGACTGGGAGGTTGAGGACTTTGTCCTGCTGGCGACCGTCGACGGTTCCATTCACGCACGCGACCGCAAGACCGGTGCCGCTCGTTGGGCCCTCGAGGTCCCGAGCAGCCCTATGGTCGAAAGCCTCTACCACCGAGCCAACCGGTCCAGCTTCGACCGTGCCCAACCCGAGGACGATTTCATCTGGATCGTCGAGCCGAGTCAGGGCGGAAGCCTCTACATCTATAGCTCGGGGCCGGAGGCCGGCCTCCAGAAATTGGGATTGACTGTGAAGGAACTTGTTGACGAAACGCCTTACTCGGGGACCGACCCGGCTGTTACTTACACGGCACGGAAGGAAACGACCCTTTATACCATTGATGCTCGCACCGGAAACATCATCCGAGTCTTTAGCTCCAGAGGCCCAATCTCGTCAGGTCAGGAATGTCGTAAGGTCGATGGACTGGATGTGGATATGGAGGAATGTGAATCCCCTTCGGGTACTCTAGTTCTTGGTCGTGTCGAATACACGGTAGCCATCCAGAACACCGAAACCGGTGATCCGATCTGCACTCTCAAATACTCGGAGTGGACGGCCAACAACCGGGATATGGACCTCCAGAGCCAGTACCTCCGCACGATGGACCAAAGCCATATTTACAGCATGCATGACGGTGTGGTCCTCGGCTTCGATCATTCCCGGATGGACCGGCCACGATACACCCAGCGATTCTCGAGTCCGGTGGTCCGCGTCTTCGATGTTGCTCGTCCGGTCAGCGCCGACTCATCCAATGACCCTACTCCCCTTATTCTACTCTCGCAGCCTCTGCAGCCTCCTGACCCCGACTACGGTACGCTTGACGATCGTGACGAACGAGTGTTCATTGATTATACTGAGGGTGGTGGCTGGTATGCCATGTCGGAGGCGACCTACCCGCTTGTCACCGGAAGAGCCAAGATGGCCCAATGCTACGAAAAAGACTACCTCCGCCATGGTCAACCCCTGACAAGCTTGACCCCAAGGCAGCAACAAGATGCACTAGCAGGAGTTCATTCTCTGAACGGCCCACGCGTTGTCCGCCGTCACATTCCCAGCATTTCTGGTCCCTCGTCCGCCGATATGTCCAACGATACGCCTCGGGAGTTAATCTATAGCTCGTCCGACCTGGCACTGCCTCCAGCCCTACGCCACAGCACCATCATACGGAAGGGCTGGGATAATGCCATTGACATTTTCGTGACGCTCTTGCTTCTCTTTTTTGGCACCTTCATCTGGTTCAATTCTCATCACATTCAGGAACTCGCCAAACAGAAGTTGGATCTGAAAAATATCATGGCCTCGTACGGACAGCCCATGTCTACCCCGCCGACCCCAATCGTGGAAGGCCCTCATTTGAAACGCGAGGCCAGTCCTAACCGTATGGCGAATCTGACTGTCGATATGAATGTTTCAGATGAGCAGCCGCAGGGTGGTGATTCGACGCCAAGGCCCAAGAAATCCCAAAACTCTCTTGCGCCCGACACAACTCCACGCGTACGCATCCGGGAACCGTCCCAAGGCCCAGATGGTGATGACGATGTGGACGAGCTCAATTTACAAGATGGCGAAAAGCCTAAGAAGAAGGCTCGCCGCGGTCGTCGTGGTGGCAAGAATCATAGGCGGGGTAAGAAGCCGAATAGCGACAGTGAATCGAGAGATCCCGCCGATCGTGTTGTTGAGGAAGTGAACAAGCTCCAACCTCAGTCTCGCTTGGAACCCGATGTACAGCTGACCCGGACGGTGTCGCATGAGATCATGGAAATGGATGGGGTTCTCCAGATCGGCCGTCTCAGGGTGTACACTGACGTGGTCTTGGGACACGGAAGCCACGGGACCGTGGTGTATCGAGGCTCGTTCGATGGACGCGATGTGGCTGTCAAGCGCATGCTGGTAGAATTCTATGATATCGCATCCCATGAAGTTGGCCTGTTGCAAGAAAGTGATGACCATGGCAATGTGATCCGGTACTACTGCCGAGAGCAGGCTGCTGGTTTCCTCTACATTGCTCTGGAGCTGTGCCCGGCCTCTTTGCAGGATGTGGTTGAACGTCCATCGGATTTCCCGCAATTAGTCCAGGGCGGCTTGGATTTGCCCGACGTTCTGCGCCAAATTGTGGCAGGTGTTCGCTATCTCCATTCCCTCAAAATCGTGCACCGCGATCTGAAGCCACAGAACATCCTGGTGGCCATGCCGCGCGGACGTACTGGCTCACGCTCCCTGCGGTTGCTGATTTCGGATTTCGGCTTGTGTAAGAAGCTCGAGGACAACCAAAGCTCCTTCCGCGCGACTACGGCACATGCCGCAGGTACCTCGGGCTGGCGAGCCCCTGAATTGCTGGTAGACGACGACATGAGCCCGGCTATGCAGGGAAGCGAGTCCCAACACACCGAATCTTCAGAACCAGCTGTGGTGGACCCTCAAACCAATCGGCGGGCTACTCGAGCCATCGACATTTTCTCTTTGGGCTGTGTCTTTTATTACGTTCTGACGCGGGGCTGTCACCCTTTTGACAAGAATGGCAAGTTTATGCGTGAGGCCAACATTGTCAAGGGCAACTACAACCTTGATGAGCTGCAGCGTCTGGGCGATTATGCCTACGAGGCTGAAGATCTGATCCAGTCCATGTTGTCGCTCGATCCTCGACGACGGTAAGTCGATCCTCATTACATGCCATGCTTATACTAACTTTTTTAGCCCCGATGCGAGCGCCGTGTTGACGCACCCGTTCTTTTGGCCTCCATCTGACCGTCTCAGCTTCCTCTGCGATGTCTCGGATCACTTTGAATTCGAACCGCGGGATCCTCCTTCGGACGCTCTTCTGTGTCTCGAGTCGGTCGCTCCACGAGTGATGGGCCCGGACATGGATTTCCTGCGACTACTGCCACGGGACTTCAAGGACAATCTCGGCAAGCAGCGTAAATACACGGGATCTAAGATGCTAGATTTGCTGCGAGCCCTCCGGAACAAGCGCAACCATTACAACGACATGCCGGAGCATCTCAAGGCACACATTGGCGGCTTACCGGAAGGGTATCTCAATTTTTGGACTGTGCGATTTCCCAGTCTTCTCATGAGCTGCCACTGGGTCATTGTGGAGTTGCGTTTGACTCGGTCCGACCGCTTCAAGCGCTACTTCACGGCGATCGACTAGCTGGTTGCCAACGTAGACGCCATTTACTTGTATATAAGCATATGTAGATGACATGTTACAATTCCATAAGTGATACGAGTCTTCCTTTTCTCTAATCTGAATTGTTGCTGTAAACTTGGATATCTCGATGCATTCTGACTGTGCGCGGGGTGATCACGTGCCTCTAGTCTAGTGACTGGGGAAGCCTTCAGCGATGAGTCATGAAAAGCGCTGATTGGCCCCAGGCGCTTATCTGGAAGCAGCCTAGCGTCCCCGATGTCGCTGGACGGGAGTCACAGTCACAACCGGCAGGTGTGATTCAGACTTGCCTAATTCAGCCAGCCAGTCCCATCGCTGTCCTTTATCAACATCGTCAATTCTTCTTTTCTTCTCTTCCAACCATCCATTCTTCACTACACACACATCAAAATGAGCGGTAACAAGGCTGTCGCTGAAAACATGCTCTGGGGAGGTCGTTTCACCCGTAAGTACACTGATTACCCCTCAATGCCTCCAATTGGGACGGCGGCTAATGTTCACTTCGGCTACAGAGGGCCTCGACCCCCTGATGGTGCAGTACAACATGTCCCTGCCTTATGACCGCATCTTCTGGAAGCAGGACATTGCTGGCTCCATTGCCTTCGCCCGGGCCAACCACAAGAACGGTATCCTGACCGCACACGAGTTCGCTGAAATCGAGCGCGGCTTCAAGCAGATCGCCGAGGAATGGAGCGCCAACACCTTCGTCGCCAAGGAGAACGACGAGGACATTCACACTGCCAACGAGCGCCGTTTGTCTGAGATCATCGGCAAGGAGATTGGAGGCAAGCTGCACACCGGCCGGTCCCGTAACGAGCAGATTGCCACGGACATGCGCTTGTGGCTGCGGGATGAACTGCGCAAGCTGGAGAGCTTCCTGTGCGATCTCGTCAAGGTCTCCATTGCCCGTGCGGAGTCTGAACTCGACTACATCATGCCGGGTTACACCCACTTGCAGAAGGCCCAGCCGGTCCGCTGGAGCCACTGGCTCCTGTCTCACGCGACCGCCTTTGCCAGCGAACTCCAGCGTCTGCGGGAGGTCATCAAGCGCGTCAACCGCAGTCCCCTGGGCACTGGCGCCCTTGCAGGAAACCCCTTCCAGATTGACCGTGAGGCCATGGCCAAGGAGCTTGGCTTTGATGGTCTGCTCTACAACTCGATGAACGCTGTGGCCGACCGTGACTTCGCTATGGAGACCATGCAATGGGGCAGCTCCTTCATGCTCAAGATCTCCCGCTGGGCGGAGGATCTGATCATCTACAGCAGCTTGGAGTTTGGCTTTGTCCGGTTGTCCGATGCTTACTCGACTGGTTCGTCGTTGATGCCTCAGAAGAAGAACGCAGGTTAGTTCCATGATTACTATAACACGCAAATTTATACTGACTTTCTCAAAGACAGCCTGGAGCTTCTGCGTGGTAAGGCCGGTCGTGCCTTTGGCCAGATGGCTGGTTTGATGTGCACCATCAAGGGTCTCCCTACTACATACAACAAGGATCTTCAGGAGAGTGTCGAGCCCCTGCTCGACCACATCAAGACTGTCGGAGACAGCATTCAGATCGCCACCGGCGTCCTCTCCACCCTCACTACTATTCCCGAGAAGATGACCGCCGCGCTGGCGCCGGAGATGCTGGCCACCGAGATTGCCGACTACCTCGTCCGCAAGGGCGTGCCTTTCCGCGAGGGTCACCACATCTCTGGCCGTGTCGTTGCACTGGCCGAGAAGCACAATGTTCCCATGGACACTCTGTCCCTGGAGCAGCTGCAGACCGTGGATGCGCGCTTCGACGAGGGCGTCCAGGCCTGCTTGGACTACGAGCGTGCTGTTGAACTGAAGGATGCCGTTGGTGGCACCAGCCGCCGGGCTGTGCTGGAGCAGACCGGTGTTCTTCGCTCATTGTTGTAGGCGTTTTTGTTTATTCTGGGATGGTTGGTTATGGCAAAAGTTAGCGATGCTCGGGATAGAGATTTGTATGATATCCATAATATTGATCTAGACATGATGATTATAAATGTCTCTGCTGTACGGTAGATGGAAATAGTTCGAGATCTATTCAGTATGTAGTAGATGATATAGGAATAGATGCACGGACGAAGGAAACTGAAGCTTCTTCAGTTGCCTTGGCCTGCAATTATCCACCAGCCAGTTCTCCTTCTCCAAGAGTATCCAAGTCACCTTGGCTCTTTCAAGGACCGTTGCTGAGTCCAAGGTTGCTTCATCAAAAGTGAAAGTGACATAGACTTTCCTCCTGGATCATGCCTTAGTAACTAGTAGCTAGCCTGTAGCCAGTTACTTGCTCCTGACAGAGTGGACGTATTGATGGGTCTCATCGAGACTCAGTGCAATATATACCACCACACATCAGTGCAGTCAAATTGACAGTGAGTGACAGCTCCCGCCGTATCTGTCCCCCAACCTCATAGACTCTCTTCATAAGTATGAATTTTTTTTTTCCCCCCCAAAAAAAAAAAAAAAAAAAAAAAAAAAAAAAAAAAAAAAAAAAAAAAAAAAAAAAAAAAAAAGGCACCCCCCTCCCCAACCCCCCCTTTGCATTCTCATCAACCTGATACACCCTCAACACGCCATCCCCATCATGCACCAACGCACACCTATGCGGCACGCCCCTCACCACCTCAAACACCATCTCCAACACCCTCACCAACCTCCGTATCTTCTCCTCATTATCCCTCTCCCACTGCTCCAGCCTCCCCTCCTTCTCCATATTCTGCGCCCGTGCCGGCAGAAACATACCGTCGGGCTGATACTGCCCCGTACATAGAATCGGGGTGTGAGAGAACCACATCTGCTCGAGATTCTTCGAGTTGTCGAGGCGTTTACTCACTGGTCCGGTTTTGATCTCGATGATTCGGTTAGGATGCACTAACGTGCCGGAGTTTATTACCCTGATTCCGGTGGGGGATTGGTGATTGGTATTGGTGGGAGTGGTGGAAGTGGAAGTATGTGCTGGTGGTGGTGGTTTTCCAGGCATACATGCATCCACTTCATACCGGAGCAGAATATGTATCCCGCCGAGGGTATACCGCACCGCTCGGTTATGGATGATGCTCCCGCGAATGTAGCGGGGGTTCCAGGTCGAGGCTTTCTCGAAGGAGTGGCCGTATCCTTGGAATTGGCCGACGAAGTTTGTCTTGCTGCTTGTCCAGAGGGAGAGGAGGACGGTGGAGTGGATTACTTCCACGTCGATTCGGAAGGGCTTTTTGCTGGAGCTGACGAAGCTGAGGAGGAGGCGGAGGTTGCGGCGGTCGGTTATTAGGTCGGTTGTGGTGAGGTTCACTTTGGGTTTGCCGGTGGTGGTGGTTGTGGTGATGGAGATGGCGCGGAGGAGAGGTTCCAAGGTGCAGTTGGGGAAGATGAGGCTGTTGGGGTCTAGGATGTATTTTCCTGCGTCGGGGGGAATGTGCATGGGGGTGGTGGGGGGTTTGTAGATTGAGGGGGTTCCTTGGTTTTTTTTTTTCAGTATTGGTGGTGGTTTGGGGGATGCTGGGGATGAGGGTAGATGTGGATTGAGGGTGGGGAGAGAGTGAGGTCTACCTGGAACTACCATGCTCTTTTCCTTCTTGGGGAGGAGGTTATAGGATGTGATTGTTTTGAGGTCCTTCTTTGTGCAGCTGATGTTGGGGTCGGGGTGGATGCTGTCTAGAGGGATTTCCCCGATGGGGAGGAGGAGGCCCTTGAGGAGGGGAGCTTTGGGCATGGCGCTACTTGGTGGTGATTGAGATGTAGTGGTGGTGGTGGGATATAGGGTGAGGTTCGGGAGATGGAGTGAAAGCTCTACACTGGAGATAGAAGTGTAAGGTTAAGGTGTACGCAAGGCTCAATCTGTGATCTGGCCATATTACCCCGCAGTTCAGGGTATACAACAACAACAAATCATGCCAACAAATCTGGAAGTGAATGCGAGTGGCTGTGTTGTATTTAGTCTGTTTTGAAATTTCTTTCTTTGTGTCAGCTTCAAGTCAGTACTTTGTATAAGTGAAGTGGATGGACGGGTTGGGTTAACGGGCGATTGTTGCTTATTTAGCAATTGGGGCCCCTTTTCTTCTCCACTTGGATGATGGGGCCAGAAGGAGCTCACATGTTGTGTCTTTGAACGGGGTTAGTGAGACATTAGGATTCATGTATGAGGGGGTTTTGAGAAAGCATTCGGAACAGTTTCCTTATATGTTAATTCAAAGGATGGATTGTATATATTATGATCAGGGTCCAGCGGGACGCCCGATGAACCGGACACTGATCGTGCTATTGTTCAGATAGGCTCTTTAGCCGCCTGGTGAAACACTGTAATGTCTAGACCCTGTCGCTACTAGTATTCATTCGTAAAGACAAGCGCTGATGATTGTTGGTGCCTAATGATCAGATAATTGATGTTACATCCACACCAGCAGCATCTGATATATAATGGGGCAGTGCTGAAGATCAGCCATGGAGTAATTTCCAGTGAGTGGGGCTCAAGTTGAAGTTCGTCTCAGATTCTAGCTTCTAGCTTCTTTAAGGGCATGAACTATGGGTAGGGCCAAAGTACCAGGTACAATATTGGTGGAAGGAGGTACAAAGTCAATGCAGACATGGCTCAATGAATCAAGTACACAATGACCCGTAAAATATAAAGCTTTAAAGCAACCAGTGTAACAAGTACCACGGGACGATGGCGCATCTGGGAGCGCGTCAGACTGAAGATCTGGAGGTGGCCGGTTCAAGCCCGGCTCGTCCCATTCTTTTTTTAAACCTTTTTCTAGTTTTTGTTTACTATCCGTTCCTATTTCTTTGTCTTCTTAGCCATGCCCCTCTTCTTCTGCTTATCACTATTCAATTGCAGACTGCAAGCTAGGTTCATCGCAGCAATCCGTAATCAAATTGTATAGGTCACCCCAAATTAGTCCAACACTTTTATATCATAAAAACACCAAGCATACGATCATCCGCCCTACCACACTCAAGCAAGGAGATTTGATCTGTTCCGCCTGTCCCGATGCTTATCTTAGGTTAACTGTCAGGATGATCAGCGGTCCATTATCTTAAATACGCCCAATGGATGGACCCTA